CAATGATATTTGGATTTTGGCCCTTCATACGACAAGGTTTGGGCACTCCTGTTAACAGATCAGTGGCCAGCTTTTCAGTGGTTATCCGTGAATAGTTTGGATTGTCATGATGTCTAATAAATGTTCTAATTTTACAAAGGACACTAGTAAAAAGATTTAAAGTATTATTTACATGGTAACAATTTACTATAAGATATTTTTACAGGATTAATAGTAACCCTAAATTTAAAACAATAACTGTTTATAATATTTGTCAATGTTAATTAAGGTTAAATAAAAGTAGTTGTTTAACCTCTTAAATTTTTAATAAATTAATGTGGGTTTGTCACAAAATACTAGGGAAATATCTTGGTAAAATTATAACGCTGAAGATTGTTTAAAAAAAAAAAAACTAATAAAGTAGCTTGTTAGCAGTATTCTTGCTCATTTGCTTTAGGTTGTTTTAACATGAAATTCAGATGGAGGGCAGTAAGTGATTTTTCTACATAAGAATCACTACAAGAACATCTAAATGTTTGTTTTAAGTTGATTATAATTATTTAAAACGGCCAAAATTAGAAATAACAAACAGTTTTTATGGAACTGCAAAGGTTTTTCCTCACAAATTGAGAAAAAAATTCTCAAATTAGTCATATTGGATGTGTTCTTATGGGTTTCTTTGGTGGTTTCTGTAGTAGTCTACTGTTGTTTTCAGCTGGGCTTGAGCAAATAGATTTCTTTTAAATGTTGACTGAGAAAAAAATGAGTGTGTGAGAGAGATGTATCAATAATATACATTGAATAATAATATGATGTATTGTATTATGAATATTGATATATTTTTAATTACTTTTAAAAAATCTTGTTTCACTACTACGACTTACTGTGTTTTTTTATTATACATGTATGTTACTTTTAATGTAAACTTTATAAATGCTTTGGCAATACGTTTGTCACGCCAATAAAGCACTTAGTCATTTGCAAAAGTAGATGACTCAAATTTTAGTCTTTTTTTTTTTTATCTGTTTCTGATCTTTTATGGTGGAAATTAAAGAGTACACTTACGAGGGAAAAACAAAACATGATTGGTAATTGCTAAAAATGACATTTTTTAAGAATTTAAATTAACATTTAAATGACTATCTACCTAATTATAATAATGACAACAACAATAATAAAACCTTATCATTTTTATAAGACAAACTTTATTTTGTTCAAAACAAGATTAAAAAAATACTGCCACCTGGAGGAATAACATGAAACCTTCACAAAAGAAAAAAACATGGACCAAACATATCATAAATAACACAACCTTAAAATGCAGTGAACAGAAATATGCAATATACTATATGCATCGTAAATTTTGGAGGGTTTTCTGTAAGATAAGACCATATTTATCAATTTATTCCAATATATGTGAACAGGGAACTTATCTGAATGCCTCTGTATCTCCCAGCTTTTTACTTCCTGCCCTTCATCTGAATTTCGTGCATCACCAGAACCGCGTGATTGCCAACAACCTTTATCAAATGATCAGAAACAAAAGTAACTTGTTTTTAAATGAGTTAAGTATATTTAAAATGTACTCAACAGATTTATTAATTGAGTTAAGTAGAAGCACAATAATACTGTTGCTTGGTCTTTCAAATCATAGTCATAATTATTTTGTCACTTGATTTATTAATCCGCATATGTCAAGCATGTATGAAACATTAAATCATGCACGAACATTGTCAGTATATTAAAAAAGTACAAAAAGACCAAACTGCTCATACTGCCACCATTGTTTATCAGTAAAAGTTAAAAGGCTGATTTGATAGAAAAAGAAATCAAACTCCCCAATAAAGGTAAACAACCGATACGCAGATCAGTGTATCAGTGTTGAATCTTAACATGTTAGCAACCACATGTTTTTTGTCCAATGGCTGCAGAAATCTCCTTCATCAGCTTCTCTTTGCAGTTTGAGATGTTTATTCCAGCGACGTTCATTAGATCAGTGATCATCTCAGTGCTGTAAGCTCCTTGAAAAGTACGATATTTCTTCCTCCAATCTTCAAGTTTATCTAATGAAACAATGATAGTTGAATTATAGAGAAAATTAATGACTTCCTTGTGAAATATTTCAAACATATTGTTTTCAGCTACAGAACATAATGGCTTCATTAACCTAGTTCAGCCCATAAATTGCACTTTAAGCAGGATACCTAGTAAAATGTTAGTAAAATATCTACTTTCATAATGAAAAGACCAAAATTGATTATTAAAACTAGGGCTACACCATATTGGAAAAAAAGCTGACATTGCGATTGATAATTTTTCTGCAATACTTCTTGCAATATGAGCATAATTTCACAAGATGACTCTATTTGAAAATAATTCATAGTTTTAGGAAACTATTTTGTGAGGGAGTGCATCTGCATAAAATACACAAAACTACAGAAAAATCTACAAAACAACATAAAGCATAGATAAAACAAAAATAAATAAATGGTTGTAGCTGAAGTCTAAACAGTATTACGGTTCAGAAATTCAACAATCAAATATGGAATTGTATAAATTCATTGTATAAAAATACAGTTAATCTTGGTTAAAGTGGCAACTTTATTATTTTTTAGTCTCTGCATTGATTAAATTTGTTTAATCATTGAAAAAAATCTAATCACACTATTAACGTAGAGTTAAACTTTGCAATGACTCCACAAGTTGTGTTCTGAATTGTGGTTCAACATAGCAGATTCACACATTGCGATATTGATGCTGAAAACATATTGTACAGCCCAAATTAAAACTATAGTTTTTTTTACTATTTATTTAAGGTTTTTTTTAGGATATTTATATATATATATATATATATATATATATATATATATATATATATATATATATATATGTATGTATGTATGTATGTATGTATGTATGTATGTATGTATGTATGTATGTATGTATGTATATATATATGTATGTGTATGTATGTATGTATATATATATATATATATATATATATATATATATATATATATATATATATATATATATATATATATATATATATAATTTTTTTTTCTTTTTTTTTCTTTTTCTTTTTTTTGCAGAACAACCCCTTTCCCAACTATTTAACCTCTTACACCTAAGGGAATACATGAAAAAATTATGATACAGTTGAAGTCAGATTTATTAGCCCCCCTGAATTATTATCCCCCCTGTTTATTTTTTCCCAATTTCTGTTTTATGGAGAATTTTTACTAATTTCTGCACATAATAGTTTTAACAACTCATCACTAATAACTGATTTAATTTATATTATTCATTATGACTAAATAATACTAGACTAGATATTCTTCAAGACACTTCTATACAGCTTAAAGTAATATTTAAAGGCTTAGCTAAGTTAAGGTAACTAGGCAGGTTAGGGCAATTAGGCAAGTCTTTGAATAATGATGGTTTGTTCTGTAGACTATTGAGGAAAACATATAGCTGAAAGGGGCTAATAATTTTGTCCCTAAAATGGTGTTTAAAAATTAAAAATTACTTTTATTCTTGCCAAAATACATTGCTCTGTTAAACATCATTTGTGAAATATAAAAAAAGACAAAGTTGAAGGGGGCTAATAATTCTGCCTTAAACTGTGTGTGTGTGTGTGTGTGTGTGTGTGTGTGTGTGTGTGTGTGTGTGTGTGTGTGTGTGTGTGTGTGTGTGTGTGTGTGTGTGTTACATGTTCCCCCTGAGCAAAATAATGAGAAAGAAACAAATCTCCTACCACAGCTATGCTGATGACACTCTACTTAGCCTTACTGCCTAATGATACAGCCCCATTGACACCCTCTGCCAATGCATTGATGAAATTGACAATTGGATGTGCCAAAATTTTCTTCAGTTAAACAAAGAGAAAACTGAAGTCATTGCATTTGGGAACAGAGACGAGGGTCTCAAGGTGAATGCGTACCTTGTTACTAAAGGTCAAACAACAAAAAAAAAGGTCAAGAATCTTGGTGTGACTCTTGAGTCAGATCTGAGTTTCAACAGTCATGTCAAAGCAGTCAGTAAATCAGCATCCTATCATCTCAAAAATATTGCAAGAATCAGATGCTTTGTTTCTAGTGAAGATTTAGAGAAACTTGTTCATGCTTTTATCAGCAGCAGGGTGGATTACTGTAATGGACTCCTCACTGGTCTTCCCAATAAGACAGTTAGTTGCAGCTCATCCAGAACGCAGAACCCAGCCAGAATTCTGACCAGAAGCAGGAAATCAGAGCACATCACACCAGTCCTCAGGTCTCTACACTGGCTCCCAGTTACATACAGAATAGATTTTAAAGTATTATTACTGGTCTATAAATCACTAAATGGCCTAGGAGCTCAATACATTACAGATATGCTCACTGAATACAAACCTAACAGATCACTCAGATCTTTAGGATCATATAAACTAGAAGTTCCCAGAGTTCAGTCAGAGCAGGGTGAATCTGCTTTCAGCCAATATGCCCCCCACTGCTGGAATCAGCTTCCAGAAATGATCAGATGTGCTCCAACATTAGGCATGTTCACATCAAGACTGAAAACCTGTGCCTTTACTGTATGAGCACTGTGCTGTATCCGACAGATTGCACTGCACTATTATGTTTTTCGTTTTCTTTTTCATTCTTTTATAACCTATTTTAACACATTTTAAATTGTTTTTAATCATTTTTATTGTCTGCATTTTATGTCCTAAACTTGTCTTTTTTATTCCTGTTTATGTAAAGCACTTTGAATTGCCACTGCGTATGAAATGTGCTATATAAATAAACTTGCCTTGCCTATATATACATAATATTTTATGTGGAAGTTTGAATACAATTAGACAAAGTTTTTATAGGGAGAGTACTTTGATGGACATTTTTAAAAAGGTACCACCAAGAAGAATCTTAAATTATTTATCAAAAATTGAACTGAAAAAATCATATTTAACTTTGAATATATTTTTGTGTGAATTTTATTTATTTATCCAAGTAACTTTTTATTGTAATACAAATTAGTTTTTATCATGTAATATTTTTGTGTATATCCATCTTGCCATGAAATCGCCCTAAGTTGATGATGTGGCAACAAATAAATAATAATAAACGTGCAGAAAACCCTGAGCTAGACGATCTTAACTTGCCTCCACAGTTGACCACATTAAAGAGAGGGATGTGAATCACGGTTGGAGTGTTTTGGCCTTTAAACACATAGAAGTCCTTGGGTTTCTCGATGTCTTGATCAGGAATTCTGACTTGTGGGAAAGGGATGTTTTGCTTCCTGCACATCTCTGCAGCATCTTTCACCGTCTGTGGTAGTAAATCAACACAGCTTGATTAATATTCTGCAGCTCGTGAGTAAAACTGTTGAGATTTATATATGTTTAATACCAGGAAAGGATCGCCTTCACTGAAATCCAGGGAAATAATGAGGTCAACGTTTCTTTCTTTTCTCAGCACAGAGAAGTAGGGTGAGTTCAGCAACAGCCCCGCATCTATGTAGTCTCTCGTATCACCTTTAGGTAAGGTGGAAGGCACCGCTTCATCTGAAAAATCACAGTGTAAAATGAGTCTTCATTACACCTCACACTTGAGTTCCTAGTTAAAATAGCTGGTCTGTTCCCACCTGTAATGTCATGGAGAAAGTTATAATTCCTGCCCCAGATCCACAGATCCATACATGTACAGATGTACATCCAAGCATCTGTAATGAAAACACAGTAGGGATGTAATGACTCTATTTCAGTGGTGTCCAAACTCAGTCCTGGAGGGCCGGTGTCCTGCATTTTTTAGTTCCAACCCCAATTAAACACACCAGAACCAGCTAATCAAGCTCTTTCTAGGTATACTAGACTTCCAGGCAGGTGTGTTAAAGGAAGTTGAATCTAAACTATGCAGCTCACCGGCCCTCCAGGACCGACTTTGGACACCCCTGCTCTATTTGATATGCAGTCGGTTTAAACGCATACATTGTATTGTTAAATTGTCTATATTTTGGAGCACGTAAAGAATCGATACATCAATATTAGAGACCGTTCAACTTACCAAATGGCCATAAATTGAACTGATCCGTCAGAAAGTTGCAGAGTTCCTTCGTGTAATTCTTCATACACAATGTTTTATCAGCAGGTCTCAGCTTGTCCAAAATCCGCTGACTTTGTCCTCCAGAGAGATCTGTAGATATGCACGCAAGTGAGCTTTTATTAGAGTTTGTGTAACTATAAATATATATCCAGAATAAGGCTGCACAATGTATCTTTTCAGCATTGATATTGCAATGTGTGCATCTGCAATAGTCACATCTGCAAAGTTTAATTGGCTTTATAGTTGAACAGAAGCCTTAGCGTTTATAATTTTTTTTGTTTGTTTTGTCTGCCTGTGACTATGAATATTTTAAGAAAGAAAGCATTGGTGCTTAATCCTGTTCTTGGAGATCTACGTTCCTGCAGATTTCGGTAACACTTTACAATAAGGTTCATTAGTTAATGCATTTACTAACATGAACTAATCATGAACAACACATGTACAGCATTTATTAATCATAATTAAACATTTACTAATGCATTATTTACATCCAAGTCCAAGCTTGTTAACATTAGTTAATGCACCGTGAGTTAACATGAACTAACAATGAACTACTGTATTTTCATTAACTAACGTTAACTAACATGAACAAATACTGTAGTAAATGTATTGTTCATTGTTTGTTTATGTTAGTAAATGCATTTATTATCATTAACTAATGAACCTTATTGTAAAGTGTGAACAAGATTTCACCTCCAACCCTGATCAAACACAACTAAACCAGCTAATACTGCGGTCACACTAGAGTTTGAGCTTGTGAAATTCTGTCGTATGGTGCTGCGAAAAGGGGCGGGATTGAACAAAATTGACTTGACATTAAAAAAGAGAGTGATTGGTCCATATTTTAAATTTCTGTCCAGAGAGGTCATGTTTTGATCCTCGATTGGTCTCACGCAGTCAAGTCATGCGATTTTGCAGGTCAGAGTTCACCAAGCTTGAACTTTGCAACGCAGTGAACTGCGAAACTTGTTGCGCAAGCTTGCGTTTCCAGTCTGACACATTTGTGTGCGTATGAATGGTTTAAAACATTTAGGCACAATAAATTGTACCATTTGTACCTTTAATAAAAAGACATTTATTATATATACCTAGGGTGTCAACTCTGTCCTGGTAGGAAAAAGTTTGGCTCAAACCCCTTTCAAACACACCTGAACAGGATAATCAAGCTCTTAGTGAAGTTTCATAAACTAATTTCGAGAGGAGCACGTGATATGATTGTGCACCGCTGGCCACTCATCCGTAATCAGTAATAATCCAATCAGAATGATCCTAGCTTAGTATAAATGGATCACATTCTCCTCATTGTACCATCTTCATTTTGGAAGAATCCCCCCTTCCACCCCATCTCCTCCTTTTTCTCCCCTTCTAAAGGGGGAGCGATCGAGACCTACCTGATCTCGGTTCTCCTGATATGCTTCTAGACCGGGCGGGAGCCCTGGGCTCAAATATCTCCGAGCTCAGGGTTCTCTCCCGGGACAGCATGCCAAACCTGCTATAAGTGCCAAGCATATCTAAGTGGGAACTCTTAAACTAGGTATACTAGAAACTTCCTGGCATGTATATTGAGGCATGTTGGAGCTAAACTCTGCAGGACACCAGTTCTCCAAGACCAAGTTTGGACTCCCCTGATATATACAACGAAAACAATGTGTTCTTTTACATTTGATTTATTTCCATGTTCTGTACCCGAATACTGTTTGACAACCATAAAGCAACAATACTTGTAATTTGTTTATTATTTTTATGCATGATTCAATCTTCTATTGCAATCAATCTGAATTAATGAACACTTTCCAAATAATACAACCTGTATATAATGTTCTGTAAATATCACCTTAGTTTTTCTATAACTTTTCTATATCTTATACTTATATCCTGCAATTGCTGCTATTGCACTCCTGGTTAGACATAAACTGCATTTCGGTGCTTTGTATTTGTACATGTGTAATGACAATAAAGTTGAATCTAATCCAATCTACTAGAGTTATTCAAGGCATCTAATAAACCTGTATTTAAATTGCACTATTTATTGCAGAAAAACTAAATATCATATTGTCCGATTTTTTTTTTTTTCCAATATCTTCCAGCACTAATCCAGAAACTGATCAATTTATTTAAATGACATCATTGGGTTGATCACTGGGTGAAGAGGACTGTAGAAATAACTCACCGTTCAGCTTTGCTCTGATGGATTCATCGAGAGCTGAAGGATCTTTGCCGTTCAAAACAGCGAGATTCATATCCACAAGATTCATGAGCATCTGATAGCACTTGTCTACAGATGCCGAGTTTGAATCTTTGAAAGGAAACACATTGATTTCTGGCAGCTTGACTTTAAATCCCCCCTGAAGGTTGATTCCCAATGCAGATTCTTTCTCTTTTCCCTTTGCTTCCTGTGACCTTTCTTGCTGATCTGCACAATGGAGGCAAAATTAAATGGATATTACTCTACTGGCCAAAAGATTGCAATAATCAAAAATATTTCATAAACATTTCATTTTAATGTTGAAGTCCTTTTGCTCACCAAACCTGTATTTATTTAATCAATTAACATCAATTTAAATCAATTTACTAACATAATACATTTATTGAAATAAATATTTTATAATGCCAGTTATTGTCATTTTGGATTTTATTAATTCATTAATAACTGCTGAACTATGATTAATAAATGTTGCACAAGATTTTTCAATAGTAGTTTGTTAGTAAATACTTTAATGCACCATTGTTACTAAAAATTACAGCAAAACTAATATTGTAAAAACAAAAATAAAAGACGAAGTAATGATAATTAAACTTTTCTATGTGAATATGTTGTGAAATGTAAATTGTTTCTGTGATTTAAATATTATAATGTAATATTAACCATTTTAACCAATTTAACATAAAAATCAACATTAGAACGCTTTCAGAAGGATCTTGACCCTAAAGACTGAGAGATGATGCAGAGAATTAGGCTTTTATTCACAACAATAAATAGCATTTTATAATAAACAGATGACATAGGTGGAAGCAAAATTCTAATGAAATAATTTACCTTTTTTATATTCCTCAAGTACTAAATCTTTTTGTTGGAAGAGCTCTGCCAAAACATAAATAAATTAAGTTATGAAGTACAACTGTTAACTTAAAGCAGATTTTAGTCAAATATATGAAGAAAGCAATTGTTCACCTTTTATCTTTTGCCAGAGCATTTTCATAATCTCCAATTCATCAGCCAAAGCACTGCCACACAGAGCTGCAGAAATATTAGAAATGTTTCAAAAATGTACACATTTCACTCAGAAATTATTAGTAAATTAGTTACAAAAATGACAATGCACTAAATTTAAATTTGTTTAGCATTTTAAGCTTGTAACAAAGTGCAGTAGTGAGTTTTATTTATTTAGACATTTAACAGTAGTAATGTTTTTACAATTTGCACATTTTTATTTGTGACTTTTTTAATATAAAATGTAATAAAACAAAATTAATCCATTGTAGAATAACTTAAAGTTCTTCCAGAGTTTAAATTCTAATTTTTCCACAAAAGAGATCAAAATCTAACAGAAAACATCCAGAAAACAGTCCAGGCATTGCTTCAGCAAAAATCTGTTATTATCTGTGCCATTAACTAGAGTTGTGGGGATGAAGAATGGCCAGTAGTTTTTAACAAATCCTAAAATAATGCGTTTTTAGTCCCCAAAATGCCATTTATCACGTAAGCGAAAAACCAATTAAAAATAAATTAATAGATAATTAAACTATTAAAGGTGCAGTATGTAAGTTTGACACCCAGTGGTGAAACTTGGTATTGCAATCCTGGATCAAAACAAGCGCAAGCGCAGGTTGCCAGATTGAGGTTCAACAGGAGTGAGCCTGATTTTCAAGCCTTAAGGATCGTGTTCTATATAAAGCAATGTATAATTTAGAAACAGCTTATTTCTCACAGCTGAACAACAGGATAAATGACAATGATCAGCTCAGCTACACCTCATGTGCTTTATTCAGTGTTCAATGCTAATAATGTGAGTCTGAATGTCATTTTACATCACATTTATTGCCATACTACTGAAAGCAGCAGCAGATAGTTCACCTCAGACCTGGAAAATAAAAGAAACTGTTTAAATTGAACTTTAGATTCAAAACCAAAACCTATCAGTGATTCAGCATCTACATTTAACAATTGAACACTTTACAATGGAACCTGCTCACCTAATATTGACGTTCATAATATTTATGTTATTTGCTAATTAAAAACCACCTCATGTGCTACTGGTCCACCAGAGGTCCCGTTTTGGTCACGGACACATGCTTTGAGAGTCTTCCTGACTGAATGAATGAAATGCGCTGTTTTCCACAAAGGCAACCCGGGGTGCTGAAATATAATTGACTAAACTGGCAATGGAGGGATTAAATGACCAAAACAAAGACAGCTGTTCCGGCGCGTAACGTACATATTTAAAGCAGAGTTTCTGACTTCAGCATTGTTTTTCAGATAAACAAGGATGTTCACTGAGCATGTTTTTTAAATATCTGCACACATATTATGATGTTTTTATGCTTTAGAAGAGTTATAAACTTACATACAGTCATTTATAAGCTGTTTGTTCAATCACAGTGCACAGGGTTATCAGACCAGAGCACAGTCAGAGCATTTTAGACACTAGAAATACGGTTCAACTTTATGCTCTCTGTAGCAGAGTTTGTTACCTTGCAGGTACAGCATGTCAAATTCATTCTGCTGACTTTTCCTAGAGCCTTGATGAAACTGACTGCCAAAGGTGGAGGCATTTACAAACGCTCCACTGAGGGAATAACCTGCCTCATATGGAGTGATCTCGAACCAGGGATCTGTAGATGCACAATACACCATTATACCAGCTGATTTGAGAATATGAACTCTACATTACTTTTAGAGAAACACACACCTCCGTTATTGCGCTGTTTGCAGGTCTTGTCAATCACTGTGTAGATGGGAAATGGGTCTTTATTGTTGTGGCCGTGCTGATCTGTGAGTGTGTGTTCATCAATCTGTAGAATTATTTTGCAGAATTATGTTGTTGTAATACACTGAACTCATATCCACTTGTGATGAATAGTCACTGACCTCTTTCACAAATGTTGTGACGGCCAGCACTGCCCAGACGTCAGTCAAGCTGAAGTGGTCTTTCCCTTTGAAATATTTCTTCAGTTTTGCAAATTTGTCTTTCAAGCTGACTGCAGGACCGCTGATTCTGCTGAAGATTCTGTCTTTGACCGTCTGTAGTTTAGTGGACCAGTCTGGTTCCTGATATAAGGCGGCCATGCACCTTCAGAAGAACAACACACTGCTCTCATTTCTGACATGCAACACAATTCACTCTTTATCTCTGTGTGTTTGTGTGTGTGTTTGTGTTTGTGTGTTTGTGTGTGTGTGTGTGTGTGTGTGTGTGTGTGTGTGTGTTACCAGGTGGATCCAGAGACTCCGCTCAGATAAAGCACACAGTCCAGAAGACCTGCTTTATCAAGCTGATCCAGGCATCCCAGCAATCCCACCATGGCTCTTTGTCCTCCTCCAGAACCCAGTAATGCAATGTTTGGCACATTTTCCTGAATCACACACACACACCAATCAAACCTTAAGTGTACTCACAGATAGCAGTATTGTACGATAGTGATATATTCAGCCTTGCCTAGTGTCATGAATAAATTAATATCAGATGAAAACCATCTCCAAATGTCCCATTTGTCACTCATTAGCAGGTCAAAATTATTTATTATCTGCTTCTTGCTTTAAGTGACTTTGAATGTGGCATGGGTGTTGCTGCCAGACGGGCTGCTCTGAGTATTTCAGAAACTGCTGATCTACTGGGATTTTCACACACAACCATCTCTTGGGTTTACAGAGAATGCTCCGACAAAGAGGAAATATCCAGTGAGCGGCAGTTCTGTGGGTGCAAATGCCTTGTTGATGAGGCCAGAGGTCAGAGGAGAATGGCCAGACTGGTTCCAGCTGGTAGAAAGTCAACAGTAACTCAAATAAGCACTCGCTACAACCGAGCTCTGCAGAAGAGCATCTCTGAACACACAACACGTCCAACCTTGAGGCAGATGGGCTACAACAGCAGAAGAGCACACCGAGTGCCGCTCCTGTCAGCTAAGAACAGGAAACTGAGGCTACAATTGACACAGACTCACCAAAACTGGACAATAGAAGATTGGAGAAACGTTGCTGCTCTGATGAGTCTCCATTTCACATTCAGATGCTCGGCTCAGAATTTGGCTTTGCCAACATGAAAGCATGGATCCATCCTGCCTTGTATCAGCGGTTCAGACTGGTGGTGGTAGTGTAATGGTGTGGGGAGATTTTCTTTGGGTCCATTAGTACCAATTGAGCATGGTGTCAACACCACAGCCTGCCTGAGTATTGCTGCTGATCATGTCCATCCCTTTATGAGCACAGTGTCTCCATCTTCTGATGGCTACTTCCAGCAGGATAACGCTCCATGTCATAAAGCTCAATCATCTCAGACTGGTTTCTTGAACATGACGATGAGTTCACTGTACTCAAATGGCCTCCACAGTCACCAGAGCTCAATCCAATAGAGCAGCTTCGGGATGTGGTGGAACGGGAGATTGGCATTATGGATGTGCAGCCGACAAATCTGCAGCAACTGTGTGATGCTATCATGTCAATATGGAGCAAAATCTCTGAGGAATATTTCCAGTAGCTTGTTGAATGTATGCCATGAAGGATTAAGGCAGATCTGAAGGCAAAAACGGGTTTAACCCGGTACTAATAAGGTGTACCTAATAAAGTGGCCAGTGAGTGTATTTACATTTATGGAGATACATGTATTATTTTGGTACTTTAATGTATTATATAACCATTGATTAAGGAGAAGTAACATTTATACAGTCTTATAGTTACAAAGGCTGAGATGATTACCTTGAGCAAGGCACCAAACCCCCATTGCAACGCATGTATGTTCACGTGTGTAAGACACTTTGAATAAAAAGCGTCTTCTAAATGCATAAATGTAAATATAATAACCGACCCTTTGGGACAGCCATAATACTGAAGTGGCTCTCAGTGAACTGAGCTTTACACCCATGGTAAAAGCTGTTATTTAAATGTGTCAAGGCGTTTTACCTGATTGCATGGTGTGGAAAGCTTCTGTAGGCTTTGCAGAACAGAGATTCTCCTTCTGGCTACAAACTCCTGCTCGCTCTTGTTAAGAGAGGGTTCAATTCTCACTTCACTACTACAGAGGAAAGATGATCGATAGATACACACACAAAATAATGTTTGCTGTAGGGCTGCACAGTGTGTCGTTTCATCATCAATAGTCACATAGCAAGATCTGCAATGTCGAACCACAATTCAGAACACACAACTTTGAGTCATAGCAAAGTTTATCTCTAAGCTAATACTGTGATTTTTACTCCAAGATTAAGACAGTTTAATCCATTCTGAGACAATCATAAAGTTTAACCCTTTAACAAAGATTAACTGTGAAGTTATTGTTTATACAGTAAAGACTAAACAGTGTTTTTTCAACATTTGATTGTTGAATTACTGTACCTCAATACTATTAGACTCCAGCTAAAACCATTTACTTAGTTTTTATCTTTGTACTTTTGTTTTCATCTGTGAATTTTAAAATTTTATTTTGTATATTTTATATAAGTTTGTGTTTTATGCAGATGCACTCCACTACAAAACTATAAAATTAAGCTCATATTGCTAGTTCAAACTACTTTTTAAAAATGTTTTTGTTGAGGACAACGTAATTGTTTTGTGTTCAATCCACTTAAATTTGTAAAGACTAATAGGTTAACTTAATTCCTTCACTTTCCTAACTTAAATCGGCTGTGTGGAAACACCATTTTTACAGGATAGATAGATGGATGGATGGATAGATAGATGGATGGATGGATGGATGGATGGATCGATCGATCGATAGATAAATAGATGGATCGATAGATAGATAGATAGATAGATAGATAAATAGATAGATTGATAGATAGATGAATAGATTAATAGGAAGATTGATAGATAGATGAATAGGAAGATTAATCGATAGATAGATAGATAGATAGATAGATAGATAGAAAGATAGATAGATAGATAGATAGATAGATAGATAGATAGATAGATAGATAGATAGATAGATAGATAGATAGATAGATAGATAGATAGATAGATAGATAGATAGATAGATAGATAGATAGATAGATAGATAGATAGATGGATGGATGGATCGATAGATAGATGGATCGATAGATAGATGGATCGATAGATAGATAGATAGATAGATAGATAGATAGATAGATAGATAGATAGATAGATAGATACATAGATACATAGATAGATAGATAGAAGTTTTACCTTCCAGAGTAAACACTTCAATGCGAACATATATTACACCTGTTTCATGCATTACACCTATGTCAGGTTGTCATCAGGGTCACATATATAAAATGCCCTATGTGTCACAGGACCGAAAAGCTTGCATTACATGTAATCTATCTTTCTGAAGGGCCCTTTGAAGTGAGCTGTTTTAAGCATTTTTGTTTGGAGCAAGCCATGAATGGGCTAGAAAGCAGTGCAAGTCTGAAGATTATTTTTAGCAGTTATTTAATTTATTATTCAGCTTGTGGCAGACTAATTAATCCAATGCAAAATTTATTTTACTGCCTCCTTTGCAGAATTCACAGCAGGATTACGTACCTCTTCCGACATTTGGATGCACTCATCTATAAAACAATGGAGTCGACATAAAGGTAAGCTTCTATTCAATTACAGATACACAGACAGATAAATAAATGTGTCACAGCTTAACGTTAAAAGTTGCTAAATAACTGATAAACATACATTTATACAGACACAGCTTTTCAGTTTATGATGTTTATAGTCAAAATAGCATGAATTTATTTCAAACAATTATTTAACTTTGTCATAAAGAAATGTTAATATCAATAATGTAAAATAAAAATTCTGCACTTTTATGTAAATGTCACTGTTATTGACCAAATTTGCAACTGTTTTAATGCAAATTACTGAAACAGGCTGAATTCGTCACATGCTTGAAAGTTTTCAATTGCCCTGCATTATTAACATTTTAATAGCTTTTAATAATGTACTTACTATTGCTGAAAATCTTGAGTCTTCACCAACAACAGCCAGCCAATAGCAACATTCGGACAGATGGTGCTCTTTTATAGGGCTCTAAAACTACACTGCGAGTGCAGGCATAATCATAAGGGTGTGGTTATGATTGATCAATGACTCACTTGCAGAAAATGGAGATTTCCTTGTGAATCAATCAGGCACCTGTCCTCGTGTCAACGGGTTGTTGAACATGTTTATATAAGGATCTTTTCACTGAGATCTTGCTATGCAGAAGATGCTATGCAGTATTCAAGTTTTTGTGTCCCAGGGTTTGATATAGATTGCAGCTAATATGTTTTAACTTTTATCAAAAAATAAATAAAAAATAGCTGCAAAGTTCTTGGTTTAATTTTCAGGGAATGCGTGAACTGATCAAATGGATGCAATGTCAATGACTCTGAATCAACTCAGTTGCCATAAGCATAGAGAGTAAATATGTGGGTAACACTTTAGAATAACTATTCGTTATAACTAGTTAATAATCCATTAGTAAACTGTTAGTTAATGAGTTATAAATGACTTGTTAAATAAAAGTTAAATAAAAAATAATTAAATTCAAATAAAAGTTAATAGTTAGTTAATTATTTATAACTGTGCCTTATAGATAGCCAATAGACAACTTACAAGCTGTTAGTTAACATGTTATAAATGACTTGTTAGCTGTATTTTACTGATTTATAGCTATACCTAAAAAAATATTAATAGATCATGAACAAGCTGTTAGTAAAGTACTTATTAAAGACTTGTTAGGTGTAGAAATATAAATTTATTATCCAAAGTAATGCAAAGTGTCAGTTTTGTCAACTTGTTTACTCTTTTCGGTCAACTGGTCAAGCGGTTTCTGTCTCCAGAACATGATGAGATCAGACCTGAAAAGGCAGTTTACCCTGCCGACCCCAATACTGAATTTGCATGCTTTGTTTTAGCCATCTCCCCTCCTCCTAAGACTACAATGTAGACATGAAATCTTTGTCTTAAATCAGACTTGTGAGAGACTTGATTGAAACTTGCAGACTGCGGACCTCTAGTAGGCTCTTACAGACACATGGACATCCTAAAGACGGTGTATGACTGCAGATTAACCAGCACGTCTCAATAAAGGAATTCTGCTTGTTTCGAGTCTCCTGGGGCCTCATGTACGAAGACTTGCGTGGAAATCATACTAAAACATTGCGTACGTACAAAGCTGTAAATTTGCTTACGCAGAAAAAAATTCAGATGTATGAAACACTGCGTACGCCGAATCACACGCATATTCTTTTGTACATCTGAATGAACGTGAAACTGAGCGCAACATGCACGAGCACAAAACCCCTCCCTGCCTCCTCCCCCGTAGGAATATGCCAATGACTCTACCTGGGCAAAACCCAACGAAAAAGCAACGGCAAAAGCAAGCAAAAAGAGAAACTTTGAACAGAATGTGAATTGGAGGTGCTGCTTTCGGAGGTAGACCGGAGAAAAGCGGTGTTATTTGCAGGTTTGTCCTAAGGAATTAACAACAAAAGAAAAAAATAGAGTGGGAGAGTTTAGCTGATGCGGTTAACACAGTTGGGTCTGAACATCGCACTGAGTGGATTAAAAAACAAATAGTGTGATTTATAGGTGTAAAATGTTGAAGCACCCTTAACAGTCTCAGTGGCGCAGCTCGTAAAGTGCATGTCCACATGGTTAGACACGCTCGAGCATGAACTCGGTTCGAATCAGCGTCTGATTAACTCATTCTTTTTTTTTTCCCCGCTACATATCAGATTTTGCCAACTATTTATCACGAGAAAGACAAGTAGGAATCATCAATAAGTTTGTGCATCATATTTTATTTGCACATTTATTGAATGGAAATGTTTCTGATTCACGCATGCAAATTCATCTTCAGTGTCTTTATAGCAATGTGCGTGCAGTAGATCGCTCAGATTACATTGGGAAAACAGGCGACCGCTGCAAATTGCGCTTTAATGTTTAGCTGGTCAACTGTATGGTATGGAAACCTTATATACCTGCTAGATGAACCCGTCTCATACAGCTGCCATTGCAAGGCTCAAAGACACTTTGTAGAGAGGAATTTAACACAACTGCCTCTAGGAGTCGCCAATGGAAATAAAACAGACACGCACAAAAAATGTGCGTACGCCAGCCATAAAGCTGGCGTGGAGCTGCGCACATTCCCACGTTCATTTCATCGTTAGTAAATCCAAACGTGAGCGATTCTGAGCGTTAAACCTGGCGTACGCAAAGTTTTTGTGCGTACGCAGCGTTGATACATGAGGCCCCTGGACTGCCGTCTCGTCATCCAAGTGGATGAAGAGATTCCCCCTATGTGTAAAGCGCTTTGAGTGCCCAAAAAAGTGCTATATAAATGTTAGGAATTGTTGTTTTTATTATTAGTATGCACTAAATTTAACAAGTTTTCCCATAGCAAACCTTTATAAATGTGCAATGGATTGTGATGAGTTTTTACTCTGGAGTACATCTCCTTGCCTGTATGCATTATCAGTAAGGCGTGTGCTGAATTTTGTCTTCTCATGTCATCAGTTAACAGTGGAGAAAAAAAAAAAAAAACTTCAACTTGAATAATGATGCCGTTGTGCTAGCTCTTGATATGCCAAGAGGTTTTGACAAGAGAAAGTTTGTTTTGTTGTTTTAGAGCATTTATCAACCTTAAGCCTTTGAGAATGTCGCCTCATTTCACCCCAGTTGATCCAAAGCCTGATTTGACTGAGCCGGTTTAGCTATTTAAAGGGGGGCATGGCTGTCGAAGAAACCAATGTTTATTGTGCTTCTAGTATACTTAATATTCACTTGAAGTGCCATTCTATTTATGAAGGGAGTGCAAAAGAGATGCATGTTACTGTTGAATAAACATTTATGTAATTGGTTTCATTATTCAGCTTTTTACAGATATTTAGAGTAAGCAGACACACACAAAAATCATCATTAAAGAAGTGTAGCTATGTTTTGTAATGAAATGCAAAGAGATGTGTTAGAGATGTGTTTTTTTTTTCAGCTTTTACAGAGATTTTATAGAATAAGCAGACATGCATCATTCCACTAAACACTGCCCTTTAAAATAAACATTAATAATAATAATACATTTCATTTTTAACATGCTTTTTCTATGGAATAAAAGAGCAGGAGTTCCCAAACCATTCAGTCCACGACGCAAAAATAACATTCCAGTTGTTCGTAAACCCACTATTTTCGAAGGGCGTTATAAATTCACAAACGTTCAAACCAAGTCTTTTCTTGGTTTAATTTTGGAGACCACCACTCGGAGATCTTCCTCCATGTTCAGTCGTGGTCTGTATTTATTTTTAATGTATGCGAGTGCCATAAAGGTGTCAAGTTTAGGCTGGTGCTGTAAAATCAATCTGCTCCAGCTGACTGTGCCGTTAATCTATTGTAAACACCACATGGGGTTGTTAATCAAAACATTGAAAGAGTGACGGCTTTTTATTTGCATATGTATTTTTTTTGTAATCAGGGTTCATACGGTCATGGAAAACCTGGAATAGTCGTGAAATGTTGACATGGCTTTTTTCAGGGCCGGAAAAGTTTTGGAAACTACATTTACATTAGTCATTTAGCAGATGTTTTTGTGCAAAGCCATTGAAGCTGCGGTATACTGTATACTGGAATGGAGGTTAGTTGTTTTTACTTTTCTTGGCCAAAAACATGCTCCCACATTGTTAGTGCTGTGTTAGCATAATCTATTTTACATAGATATAAAAATAAAATGAAACTATTGCATGTTTTATGATATGCTGTAATAAATGTAAACGTTTCTTATGATTTACCACAGATATGTGGATATTAGGTCATGAAAATTGACTTGAAAGTCCTGGAGAAGTGATGGAACTTTTGTAGCAAAAATGTGTATGAACCCTGTGTAATATTTTATCTTCTGTAGGTTATGGATAGTATATTAAAATGTATTAGATTTTTTTAAAACGACCTCACCTTATTGTTACGCGACCACCCAGGGGGTCCTAACCCCCACTTTGGGAACTGGTGAAAGAGTTAGGATATTATATCTTTAATGTGGTATTTTCTCCAGAGCTATTTTGTGTGCTTTGCAATATGTTTTTGTTGAAGACTTGAATGTAATTCTGTCTCACTTAAAATATCATAATACTCATTTACACTGCAGTTGCACTTCTTGATTTTCTGGTATTGTGGTGTAAATTCCTTTTTTTTTCTCTACACTAAAAACTGCTTTATTGAAACCAAGATGACAAAATGACTTGTTTCCTAATTTGTTAGCACGTGTGAAATAAGATTACGTCTCTTGAAGCAAAGTATGTGAAAATTAGACGAAAAGAGGAATGACTTTCAAGTTAATGGCTTTAAGTAGTGAAAGAACCACAATCCCATGAAGCATTGACACTACAGTGACACTACTTGTTTGTTTATCATTGACAAATAAGACAGTGTTTGAAAGAGTCTGAAACTTGTTGGGGTTTAAATGAATGTTCTGAGTTTGGTAATTATTTTGAAGCTTGTCCTAAATATTAGAAAAAGGTAAACGTTAGGTTATACAGTTGAAGTCAGAATTATTAGCCCCCTGTGTATTTTCCCCCCAATTTCTGTTTAACAAAGAGAAGATTTCTTCAACACATTTCTAAACATAATAGTTTTAATAACTCATCTCTAATAAAATAATTATTTTATCTTTGTGATGATGACAGTAAATAACATTAGACTAGAAATTCTTCAAGACACTTCTATACAGCTTAAAGTGACATTTAAAGTCTTAACTAGCTTAATTAGGGTAACTATCATGCTCTCTTCTGCAGATTCCTCCAGATCATGCCCCCGTTGCCACAGAATACAATTCTGCTAATATTTTGTTCAGTTCTTAATTATTCTGTTTTCAGGACACCATCAAATCATGTCAAGGATAGAGGTCAGCATTAAACCTGTAACCATTGACTGCCATGTTATTTGTTTTTCCTACTGTGGAAGTCAATGATTTCATGATTTTACCCTTTATTAAAATATCCCCAGGAAGAAAAAAAGCACTTTCCATGAAAAAAAGGACAGGGTCTTAAACTCTGTCAAAGAGCTGTGGAATCGGCAAAATAATAATAATAATTTTTAAAAAATCACAAATGAGAGAAAGGTCAGGATTTGCAAGGTAATCGTCATTTTTTATTTTTGTAGTTTTTATATTTTTAATCTCAATTAATCATATACAAATATATTATATAAATATATTAGCTACAATTTTATTTTATTAGTATATTGGTTGCTATGACTTTACACAGTGTTAATATATATTTCTATTTTTTTTCTCCAGGTGTTGCTGAAAGGCAAGAAACCCCTCATTTCAACTCAGCAGTCCTTCCCTTGCTCAATGTTGTGTTCAAAAGGAGACCCAAATACAAGAGAACAGTCAATAAAGTTTGTGACAAAATTAGAAAAGCAATCAGAATGCTCAGCCTTCCTCTGGGCGATGCAAAAACAGAACATTTCTGTTTCTTTGTCGAGAGGGACGAAGCAGTCAGAATGTTCAGCCTTCTTCTGGGCGATGCAGGACTGATCAAACATAGAAGACCTCCACAGCAAAAACGGTTAAAAGAAACGGGACAGATCTCAGGCTGGCGAGCAGATGGTATGGCTTCACTTTAACATGGGCTGTGGGAAGAGCAGAGGTGAGCCGATGTACAGATGGATTTAACACAGATAACAGGGTGGTGAGATGAGATAAGACACAACGGTGATCCACAGGACAAGACAAACTTGGTGATCCTCAAACAGGTAAGACACAAGAGCCGCGTAGCTTTCTGACACAGAACAATTATCAAGCAATGAAAGAGGACGAAGGGGATATTAAAAAGCCAACAATCAGAGAAGAGAGAGAACAGGTGAGAGTGATGGGAACGGGACAACAAGAGAATTGATAGCAGGTGTGCGAGTGTGCATGAATAGACAGGCACAAGAGGGAGACAGAGATAACACAGGAAAAACCCTGACACTCAAGCAATATGTTTTGCTCTTTTAATGTAAAGATCCAAGGGTAAGCTCCACAATGAACAAGAGAGGCTTATGAGAAAATGTTTATCCTGCTTCACTGAACCAGACTTCTTGTTTTGACCCTTGTTTTGTTTTGCTGGACTTGTCACAAGTGTGCTATCTGCCAAAACCTTTGGTTGGCTTCGTGCCCTGTGCTATTCAGGACCAACCTGGGAGGAACCACGGTGTGACCAAGAATTTCTGAATGAAAGTAATCCAGGCCTGTGTTAGCTGTGCGTCTGATCTTGAGGTAAAACTACCACTTAACTGTGCAACTCTCGGGAAATTGTCTTGGTTGGATCCAGATGACCAGGGAAGTGATCACATTCTTCCTTGCCTCCAAAAGTAACAAAGAAAGTGTTAGTTTTCAACACGAAACGTGAAGTTTATGTATAAACAAATTTCGAGAGGATCACGTGCTTATGATTGCTAGCAGCTGACTAGATGACTCCTAAACTACTATAAATACCCTGGGGTTTATTCCATTGCTATCTTCGTTTCGAAGAGTCCCCCCTTCCTCCCCTACTCCTCCTTCTTAGACGGGTGACACGGTGGCCCAGTGCCTAGCACTGTCGCCTCACAGCAAGAATGTCTCTGGCTCCTGGCTTTACCAAAACTAGCAGACATTTCTGTGTGGAGTTTGCACTTCTCCCCGTGCTCACGTGGGTTTCCCCCGGGTTCCCCGGTTTCCTCCCACCGCCTAAAAAAACATGCAATTAAGTCAATTGAACAATCCAAATTGTCAACATAGACACGCTTCTAGTTAGTAATTAATTTCAAGAGCATTCACTTGCTACAGCAGGGGAGTTCTCGAGATCTACCTGAGCTCAAACTCCCCTCCCGCTTTGCAACGGGAGGGAGCCCTGGGCTCGAGGATCTCATGAGCTCAGGGCTCTCTCCCGGGACAGCATGCCAAACAAGCTTTATAATTAATCATCAGCTAAGTGTGAACTCTTGAAACACAGGTGTTTACCATGTTTGTCTATGTACATGTCACATTTTCTACGTTGAAATCCTTTGATTTGTATGCATATAAACTGACCTATTTTTTTCTCATACAAGATATGCAAGTGACATGACCCTGCTTTGGGTAATGGAGAGGGCAAGAGTTGATTTCTGGTGGTGGAAGATGAGGTACCCAGTACCCAGGCAAGTAAGTGCTTTTTTTAGCCCTTTTTGGCCACAGGTAGAGTCAATGTAATGTCCAGCATTATGCATGCCAAATCTGGCAACCTCAGTGTAGCAGTTAAATACAACTTGAAGGCCATGCAGGTGTCTGCCATTCAATACCACTGCTGAACGCTGATGTGGTTGTGTGGTGAAGCCAAAGATAAATTTCTACTTGTAGACTGTTGGAATATCATGCCAATTCCATGCGTGTTCAATAAGAAAAGGCCTGGAGAGGGTTTTCTTTAATGCCAAAAATGTTTGTAATTTATTAGATACAAATGAATAATTGGATGACAGAGCTCTGGGTTATGTTACCCCCATGCAATACAAGAATTACATTCAAGAGGTTTCGCAACTAACATACATTTCCTGACTCCAGCATATATACACAACTGATCTTAACAGGTTGAGTTTTGGTTTAACGTCACTGATCAGTCATTCTGCAGTCCTTTGGCTCTTTGTAACCCCTAGACATACTTCCTCTTTCTGCAACCCTTCTCTGCATACCAGAACTGAACAATTACGTGCATCTTAAATATATTTTTTTTATATTTCATAACTTCTACAATGATCATGCTCCTTGTGACATGTCCAGACAGCAGTCTGTAACAAACCTAAATTTATTCTTATTCTGCTTTTTCCACTGGTCGGCAGTTCTTCTAAAAAGTATGCAGCACAGTAAAAAAGAGTAAGTGTATACACTTAGAAAAGACAATAGAACAATAGAAAAGATTGATTAATCTGTTGTTAGTCTAAACATTTTTCTAATTAAAAATTATGACCCAAATATAATACAAATAAATTCCTTTTTTCCTACAAGACCATAAAGAAAGTAAAGTAAAAAAGGCCAAAGATAGCATTGTTGCAGCACCTCAGAGCAAGGGATTAGAATTAGCATGGATGGATGGGACATGTCCACCAATATCCACCTACTATTGAAATGTCCCCGCCAATAATATAATTCAGTTTTAAAAAATTGCACCGTCACCATAAACCTAGACATGGAGAAAGGGTTCAGTCTAATTCGCTAGTCGAGTTTTACTGCCCCTAAACATATTTGAACATTGTGATTGGCTGTCACTGCTGTCATGTGTACTATATATTCTGATTAATTTAGGTTTCTCTCAGTTTGCGGTCGCACATGCAGATTATTTCTGGGACTGATTTTAAATTTGAAATATATGTCCATAAGTGCTCTATTTTAACTAAAGCTCTATTTTTTTGAATATTCTTGGGTCATTTGATTATAATTAGTTTTATACCGCCAGTATTGTGTTGTACAAACATATTTCCATGGTGTACATGCGATGATGGTGGTGTAAATATGATCATTTAGCTAATATTTGATTCGATCATTTAATAGATGATTTTTAAAAATGAAAAATAATTAATATCATTTAATAGATTTTTCCTCATACACATATAAAAATTTGTATAAAAATGTGCATTAGTACAATTTGACTTAATATTGTTCCCCGCTTGGTTGTAGTTTTACAAAACAAAATTTAAAAATATTAAGAAAACAATTGTCAGTAAAGTAAACTGCTTTCTGCTGTTCTTACTCTATCTGTTAATCGTTTGGTTAAGCAACAATTGATTGGGATAGAATGATAATTATTATTATTATGCCTCTTACTAAATTTCATTTTCCATAGCAATTTAAACTTCCCCTTCAATATGTACAAAAACAAACTAAAAAAGGAGCTTCGCCTTTGCATAGTCTGGGAAAGAATGTGCATCAACTACATCAGGTTTCACTTCTTTGTTGGGCTTAAATGTTAAAGCTATGGGTCCCACTTTATATTAAGTGTCCTTAACTACTATGTACTTACATCAAAAAAATAAATACAATGTACTTACTGTGTTTAGGATGTATTTGAGAACACTTGTGGTGCTTTTGAGTTGGGATAGAGGTTGGGTTATGGACAGGTTTGGTGGCATGGGTAGGTTTAAGGGTGGGTTAAGGTGTAAGGGATGGTCAACAGTGTATTTACAAATGTAATCACAAAAGTTAATTACAGATGTAATTACATACATGTATTTAATCAACCCTAAGTACACAGTAAATACATGTATTTACACAATAAGTACATTGTAAAAAAACTATTAGTTCCTATGTAAGTACATATTAGTTAAGGCCACTTAATATAAAGTGGGACCAAGCTATGAATTGTCAGTCACTGATATGCCCCCCGACAATTTCAGTTTGAGACCCATCCTTTAAAGGGATAGCCAAAACTACGATCCACCCAAAATTAAAAATTAAATCACTCTTCTCCAAACCAATTTGAGTTTTTATCTTCTTTTAAATATAAAGAAAGATATTTTGAAGGATTTTTGAATCCAGTAACCATTGAAATACAAAGCATTTGCTTTTTTTTATCATGAATTTCAGCGGTTACAGGGTTTCAGTTTTCTTCAAAATATTATTGTGATCAACAGAAGACGTGACTGATCACTAAACTGATTTAAAACAGGTCAAGGGTGAGAAAATGATGACAGAATGTCATCTTTGGATGAATTGTCCCTTTAATAAGAAGAAGACTAAGTAAAAGGAAAGTCAACAGCTCTCTTTGATAACACATTGACTGCACAGCTGCTGGTTGAACATCAGTAAATATGAAATTTCACTCTTATAGTTTTGGAATAAATACACACCAATGACAACATTAGGGTAACTGTAACGTGAATTTGCATTGGAAAAATCAAACATTGAACACTTTGGATCCTTATATGAGAAAACTCCACTGATGTTCAGATCATCGTGTCATTTTTACACAATGACTGCACGAATCTCCTCCATCAGTCTCTCTCTGTTGTTCAAGATGTTTTTTCCAGCGACGTTCATTAGGTCAGTGATCATCTCAGCACTGAAAGCTTGTTGGAAGGTGGCATATTTGCTCCTCCAATCCTCAAGTTGATCTGAAGAAGAGTTAGCAAACATTAATCAGGTCACAGCTGATAAATTCCAGTGTTATTCAGCTAGACGATCTTAACTTGCCTCCACAGTTGACCACATTAAAGAGAGGGATGTGAATCACTGTTGGAGTGTTTTGGCCTTTGAACACATAGAAGTCCTTCGGTTTCTTGACGTCCTCAGCAGTAATGTTGACTTGAGGGAAAGGGATGTTTAGTTTTCCGCAGGTTTCAGCAGCGTCTCTCACTGTCTGCAGGAGAATATCAACACAGCTTTAATGGTTTATTATTCTACAGTCCCTAAACTAATGAGCAAAACTGAAGAGTGATGTATAGGAATGCACATAACTGGAACACAGGTCTGCATACATTGTTTAAATAAAAGAACTATCAGATATTCAGTGTGAGAGATGTATAGAAATTGCATAGAAACATTCCTGAAAGTGACTGTAGACCAGAGTAAATGCTAATTATTTTCCTTTCCATCCTCTGAACACCTTCTTATGACATCTGCCTGGATTTCTCAATTTTTTGGCGTTGTGACCTGTTATGTAGTTTGTTTATTCACATGATTGGCTGCTGTTTATTTGCTTAAGACTTTTTCTCTTGTGTTTGAGTAAATTACCAATCCGCCACAAACATTTTCAATTAAAAGTTAAAGTGGGCCACAAAATTTTTTTTGGTTTAGTGAGCTATGCTTTAACAAAGGTGTTAAAATGTGCATATTTTCATTATATAAAGTTTTGTAAATAGTTTAAGTGCAAAAAACACTACTATTTTAAATGATTGCAAAAAATTTGCTTTTATCCAGTAGTGTGAAAGTGTTTGCCCTTTTACTGATTCCTTTTTTTTTTTGCATGACTGTCACTCTTTAATGTTTAAGGTCACCAAACAAATTTAAATTCAGGTCAGGCCAGATATTCTCCTTCATTAATTCTGCTGCGCACCAAAAATATCCTGGTTTCATTTATCACAGAAAGTCTTCCTGGTACTGAAGCACCAAAACTAGAGGGGTCTGGATGCAGACCTGGTGGAGTTGCAATATGAGCTGCATGCAATGCTGGTTCACCAGTCCTAACCCCACCCCTAATCATACCCCATCACTAGCTTCATTAAATGCATTGTGCCATCGCATCTCAAATGGATTCAGGTCAGGACTTTGACGAGGCCACTCCACAGTATTCATTTTTTTTAGTTTTCAGCCGTTCAGAACTAGACTTGCTGGTGTGCTTTGGATCATTGCCCCGCTGCAGAACCCAAGTTCACTAAAGGCTGATTTATACTTCTGCGTCAAACATCGGTGTATGCTACGACGCTGATGCATAGCCCTTCGCCGTGGCCGTCGCTGATGTGCACCTCTCAAAAAATTTAACTACACGTCGTAACGATTGGTGTGATTGGTCGGCTTGGTAGCGCTGACGAGTCTGGGCGGGACCAAGAGCCGCGTGAATGGTGCGAGCCTGATGGAGCGATTGTTTACAAGTGTGGAGTCCTGTGAAGTAGCTCCGGATGGATAGTTTTGTTTTGTGTTTACCTCAGAGTTAAAGTTGTTGCACGTCCGCCGCTTCCTACCTCAAAATGAGCGAGTTTGAGCCACTTGTACATCCTGGAAGTGTTCAGGAAAAGCAAAACAGCACCGAAGAAACTCGACACAGAGGAACATTAACACCTCACTGCCAACTAGCGTTCCAGAAGTGTTAATGCAGACCAACAGAGACAGCGCGCAGAAGTATAAATGCACAGCTACACGCGTTGCATGCGCCATGGGTTACGCCGGTCACTTGACGCAGAAGTATAAACCAGGCTTAACAGTTGGCCAGATTTTCTCACATACAACTGAGGTAGGATCCAAAATGCCGGTTTATTAAAAGTCAGGCAAGCGATGGTCAACACAGGTGCAAACTGATTTATAAAGGCAGTCCAGAACCATGGTCGAAGTAACAGGCGAGAGGTCAGAAGGCAAGCGGCAGACTAAGACAAACGGATAAGCTATGCTAAGGTCAAACCACGGAGAAACCAGATTAGGAAACGCGTTGTAGTGTTACTTTACAGTTAACAAGACTCGGCAAACTGAATAGGTGAGTGTGTGGCTAAAGTAGTGTGTGCAATCAGTCTCTGACAATCCTCAGGTGGTGCGAGTAATCAGTCTAGATGAGGAAGCATGTGTGAGTGTGACCGGAGTGCATGTATGAATATGTAGTCCAACAATGGCAGAATTGTAGTCCACGGTTATGGTGAGTGAGAACCAGCGATCTTATGGAATCCAATCACTGGTAATTGTGGCATTCACACAGGGCTTTGTAGTTTTGCATTTTGTTTGCTTTATAAATAGTCTTGAAAAGTCTTGATTTCAAAACTGCATGATGTGTTTACTTGTGTTGTCTTTGACTGATATTTTAGTTTTTTTGATAATCTGAAACATGTGTGACAGGCATGCAAAACAATAAGAAATCAGTAAGAAGGCAAACACTTTTCAGCAAATTACAGCTAAATTAATGGGATTTTTCTGAGAACCAAATCAAAAACATTATGTGCATCCTTAATTAAATAATACCATGAAAGGATCGCCTTCGCTGAAATCCAGAGAAATGATGAGGTCAACGTTTCTTTCTTTTCTCAGCACCGAGAAGTAGGGTGAGTTCAGCAACAGCCCGGCATCTTCATAGTCTCTGGTGTCACTTTTCAGAAGAGCAGTAGGCACCTCTTCATCTGAGGGATCACAGTGTAAAACCACTGTTTATTATATTATTCACACTCAAATGCCGGCAAACAGCAGGTCTGTTCTCACGTTTCATGTTGTGGAGAAAGTCATAATTCCTGCCCCAGATCCATTGAGCCATGCATTTAGAAATAGCCATCCGCATCCGAGTGCCTGAAATTTAACTTCTATAAATATTGTCTTTCAGGTAAATGCATGCTGCTTTGAACTTTGCTCATTTAGCAGAAGCTTTTATCTAAAGCGACTTACAAGTGAGGATAAAGAAAGTACTTTAAATCATCAGAGAGTAGAAGTCAATAAATGCTATGATGGGTCTATTTTACGAGTCATTTTCTCCTCCAAACATGCAAAGAGGAAATGGTGTATCCCAACAGGTGGTTTAATTCGATTACAGTGTAATTATACATACCTAGAGGCAAGCTTAGCTTCAATTTACACATGAAGTCGCACACATCCTCTGTGTATTGATTGATTTCTGGTTCTGCTTCTCTTTTATCACGGATATTCACTTTTTTCACTTGAGATATGAGCTGTTGTTCATCTCCAGAGAGCTCTGAGGAGGAAAAAGGTATGTGCATTATTATTAGCTCATCTAGTTTCTTAGCAGACTGCTAATTTCAGTGGTTTTGTGTGTGTGGAAAATGGGGCCAGATCATTATCTGACATGGAGGTGGTGTATGGGGGACAGAGCAGGTTATTCAATATCCTCAATAGTCAAAACTCAATACTCAGGTAGGCTGTGGCGTTGACACCATGCTCAATTGGTACTAATGAGCCCAAAGTGTGCCAAGAAAATCTCCCCCACACCATTACACCACCACCACCAGCCTGAACCGCTGATACAAGGCAGGATGGATCCATGCTTTCATGTTGCTGACGCCAAATTGTGAGCCGAGCATCTGAATGTGTCAGCAGAAATGGAGACTCATCAGAGCAGGCAACGTTTCTCCAATCTTCTATTGTCCAGTTTTGGTGAGTCTGTGTGAATTGTAGCCTCAGTTTCCTGTTCTTAGCTGACAGGAGCGGCACCCGGTGTGCTCTTCTGCTGCTGTAGCCCATCCGCCTCAAGGTTGGCCGTGTTGTGTGTTAGAGATGCTCTTCTGCAGACATCGCCTGTAACGAGTGCTTATTTGAGCTACTGTTGCCTTTTATCAGCTGGAACCAGTCTGGCCATTCTCCTCTGACCTCTGGCATCAACAAGGCATTTGCGCCCACAGAACTGCCGCTCACTGGATATTTCCTCTTTGTCAGACCATTCTCTGTAAACCCTTGAGATTATTTAAGGCTAGTATATTATAATGCAAGGATATTGTAAGGCAGGTATAACTGTAATTAGCTAAAATGAAAAGTAGCTAGTTCTTTTATCTAATTACACTCAACAATGATTCCTGCACACTTTAGGAAAGTCCTACCAGTCAGCTTTGTTCTGATGGATTCGTCAAGAGGAGTAGGATCCTGGCCTTTCAACACACAGATATTCATGTCGGTAAGATCCGTCAGCACCTGAGAACACTGGTCTTCTGGTGGTGTGTTTGGATCTTTTGAAACACACATTAAACATATGTAAACACTCTTTAATTACTTTAATGTAAGTTGTTTTCATCACAAAATTGTGTATTAGACATTTCCCCACTACCAATGTTTTGCATTGAAGCTAAAAAGAATGATCTGTTTTGTAACACTTCACACTAAGGTGAATGAGCATTTGTTATGCTGCTTCTATGTTTGAAATGCTTTACCCTTTTTGGTTTCCTCAGCAGGTGTTGATTGTGTAAAGAACTCTGTGGAGAAAATGAGATGGAATCAGTATTGATATTTCCACCAAACACTGCAACTTTATTCAGAAGTGAGTTTTAAAATGTAGCAGCACCTTGTATTTTTCCCAAGATGAAGCTGTGAATCATTTGTCTGTCACCTAAAGCACTGCCACAAAGACCTGCAGAAAAGGTCAAATATCATTTAAAAGTAAAATATAAATAATTATGACTAATACAGGGATGTCCAAACTCAGTCCTGGAGGGCCGGTGTCCTACACATTTTAGTTCCAACCCCAATTAAACACACCAGAACCAGCTAATCAAGCTCTTTCTAGGTATACTAGAAACCTCCAGGTAGGTGTGTTGAAGCAAGTTGAAGCTAAACTATGCAGGACACCGGCCCTCCAGAACCGAGTTTAGTAATCCCTGGTCTAATACATAAAATTTAGCCATTGTTCAGAAAAAAACATCTGTGTAATATGGTTTATTTTAACGACAAAGTATTATGTTATGATCTTTTAATTACTTTTTAAGATTTAGTAATTGTGCAAGTGGTTTATTTTAGTGTTCTGAGACATTGTTCAATGATAGTGTGTTTTCATATTGATAAGCTCTCTTGTTGCTTACTTTGCAGGTACAGCATGTCCACTTCAGGCTGAGGTTTGACCTTACGGCCGTTCTCAAACTGGCTGCCGAAGCTGGGAGTGTCCACAAATGCTCCAGTGAGGGAATAACCTGCTTCATATGGAGTGATCTCGAACCAGGGGTCTGTAGATGCAAAGCAGAGCATTATAACAGCTGACGTGAGCACAGTAACATTTTTTTTCTTGCATACAGACCTCCATCTTTGCATTGCTTGTCGATCACTGTGTAGATGGGAAGCGGGTCTTTCTTGTGCTGCTCCTGCTGATCACTGAGTGTGCTCTCATCCATCTGTGCAGATTTTTTGGACACTGATATCAAAAATATACTGATGATATGTTTTAATGTTTTGTTGTCATTGTGTCGTTTTGCAGAGATACACCGTCATATGCAGTTTGGCATCATTCCAACTAATTGTTAATAGCAGAAGCAACACAAAGGAATTGAATTTCCAGGATAATATTTTTCAGTGAATGTTGTCAGAAAGACAAAAAAGCTACAAGGAGAAAGAATGTTCCAATTAAGGAAATCATTAACAATGAGGGGAAGAACTGACAAGGATAAAAATAAATAAATAAATATATACACTCATTGGCCACTTTATTAGGTACATCTTAAGCCTGATTTATACTTCTGCGTCAAGTGACCGGCGTAACCCACGGCGCATGCAACGCGCGTGGCTGTGCATTTATACTTCTGCGCGCTGTCTCTGTTGGTCTGCATTAACACTTCCGAAACGCTAGTTGGCAGTGAGGTGTAAATCTTCCTCTGTGTCGAGTTTCTTTGCTGCTTTTTTGCGTTTCCTGAACACTTCCGGGATGTACAAGTGGCTCAAACTCGCTCATTTTGAGGCAGGAACCGGCGGACGTGCAACAACTTTAACTATGAGGTAAACAGAACAAAACTTTCCATCCGGAGCTCCTTCACTGGACTCCAAACTTGTAAACTTGCTCCATCAGGCTCGCGCCAATCGCGCGGCTCTCAGTCCCGCCCAGACTCGTCAGCGCTACCAAGCCGACCAATCACAGAGCTTGTGCGACGCGTTGTTGCAACGTGTAGTTACATTTTTTGAGAGGTGCACGTCAGTGACGCCGATGGCCACAGCGAAGGGCTATGCGTCAGCGCCGTAGCATACGCCGGCGTTTGACGCAGAAGTATAAATCAGCCTTTACTAGTACCAGGTTGGCCCCACTTTTACCTTTATAACTGCCTTAATATTTTGTGGCTTAGATTCAAGGTACTGGAAATATTCCTCAGAGATTTTGCTCCATATTGACAATTGCTGCAGTTTCCATGCACATCCATGATGCCAATTTCCCGTTCCACCACATCCCACCACATACCACATCCCAAAAATAAAGGGACGGACATGGTCAGCATCAATACTCAGGTAGGCTGTGGTGTTGACACCATGCTCAATTGGTACTAATGAGCCAAAGTGTGCCAAGAAAACATCCCCCACACCATTACACCACCAGCAGCCTTTACGGTTTATACAAGGCAGGATGGATCCATGCTTTCATGTTGTTGAGGCCAAATTCTGACCCAACCATCCAAATGTGTCAGCAGAAATGGAGACTCATCAGAGCAGCAACGTTTCTCCAATCTTCTATTGTCCAGTTTTGGTGAGCCTGTGTGAATTGTAGCCTCAGTTTCCTGTATTAAGCTGACAAGAGCGGCACCCGGTGTGGTCTTCTGCTGCTGTAGCCCATCCGCCTCAAGGTTGGCCGTGTTGTGTGTTCAGAGATGCTCTTCTGCAGAGCTCGGTTGTAGCGAGTGCTTATTTGAGTTACTGTTGCCTTTCTTTCAGCTGGAACCAGTCTGGCCATTCTCCTCTGACCTCTGTCATCAACGAGGCATTTGCGCCCACAGAACTGCCGCTCACTGGATATTTCCTCTTTTGTCAGACCATTCTCTGTAAACCCTAGAGATGGTTGTGTATGAAAACCCCAGTAGATCTGAAATACTAAATTCACATTTCTTTGAACTGCAGCAGATCTTCTTGATCATGTCTACATGCCTAAATGCATTGAGTTGCTGTCATGTGATTGGCTGATTTGAAATTTCCGTTAACAGTTGGACAGGTTTACCTAATAAAGTGGCTGATGAGTGTATAAAAACACATCAAACCAGGGAACAGGACTTGAAAAAAAAACAATAACCCCACTTTAACTAAATTCCATTCCCAACCAATAACTACAAAAATTAATTGTAAAAAAAAAACCTTTTTGTTGGCCTTCTCTTTTTACTGTCATCCATCAGCAACCCCACGCTAATGATGACGGACAGTTACACCAGCTAAAGGTTTGCAAGTCAAAATTGGCAAAACTTTCAACCAAATGTCTAGAACTCAACAAGAATCCTCATTTTAATCATGCTTGACTCTGGATCCTTGGTAAACTTCATCTCACAAGACTTTAGTCTCCGAATAGTCTCCGTCTGCTAAGTCAATTTCAAGTCCAAGAGTTCAGAGTTCCAACCATTCAAGGAAAACAGCTAGAGTATGAGGGGGTGGAATTCAATGCTTGTCTACCCAAATGTCAAGTCAGTTGTCTTCATCACCAATTTGGTAGTGAAGGGTTCTCCTGTGAAGTGACCCACTGAAGTAATTTTTTATGTGTAGAACTGTTTAACATCTGTTGTCAAACCAGATCCACCTCTATTATTTTGTACTGCAGGGATGTCATGTCAATTTCATCCGCTTATCCGGGTCCGGGTAGCGGGAGCAGTTGTCTTATAAGAGAACCCCAGACTTTCCTCTCCCCAGACACTTTCTCCACCTTTTCCGGGGGAATCCCGAGGCATTCCCAGGCCAGCCAAGAGACATAGGTCCTCCAGCGTGTCTTGGGTCTTCCTCGAGGCCTCCTCCTGGTGGGACATGCCTGGAACACCTCCCTAGGTAGGCTTCCTGAAGGCATCCGAAACAGATGCCCGAGCCACCTCAGCTGACTTCTTTCAATGTGGAGGAGCAGCGGCTCTACTCCGAGCTCCTCCCGGGTGACAGAGCTCCTCACCCTGTCTATAAGAGTACGCCCTGCCACCCTGCGGAGGAAACTCATTTCAGCCACTTGTATCTTAGATCTTGTCCTTTCGGTTATGATCCAAAGCTCATGACCATAGGTGAGAGTAGGAATGTAGATTGACCGGTAAATTGAGAGCTTTGCCTTTTGGCTCAGCTTTGGCTTACCACGATGGTCCGGTACATCGACCGCATTGCTGCTGCCACTGCACTGTTCCTCCTGTCAGTCTTACGCTCCATCCTTCCCTCACTCATGAACAAAACCTCAAGATACTTGAACTCCTCCACCTGGGGTAAGGACATTCCTCCAACCTGAAGAAGGGTCTGGCTGCAGACCTGGTGCAGTGCAATCTGAGCTGCATCCAATGCTTTCTAATGCGCTCACCTAACCCCACCTGTAACCTAAACTGTATCCTAGAGGCTGAAGAGTGGAAGTCGGATTGTATCACCTATGCTGGCTACTTTGCATTAAGGGTTATGCACCATGGCTTGTCCAACTATACTTCAGTATTCCTGAGATTCATGAATGAGGTGTTCCTGGAATTCCTTCACTGGTTTCTCACAGTCTATGACATCCTTATATACTTTTTGAACCTGGCCAAACATTGCCACCACGTACCACAGGTCCTCTAATGACTCTTCCAACATCATCTCTACTTAAAGCTGGATAAATGTGAATTACATAACTCCTCTACACAGTTCCTTCCATCACCAGCCAGAATAGCATCCAGATGGACTAGGGGAAAGATAAAGGCATTCTGGACTGGCCATATCCACAATACGTCAAAGACTTCCAATCATTCCTGGGATTCGCTCATTTTTGTTGGAGATTCGTCAAAGATTTCAGTCCATCACCATCTATCCTTACTTTTTTTCCTGTGAGATAAGCCCAAGTCCCTGCCCTGCAACAACACTGCTCATGAAGCCTTTGGATAAGAAACGGATCAGCACAGCTCCCATCTTCTGACATCATAATCTGCAAATACCCTTTGTGGTCATTGTTGACTCCTCCAACACTGGCATATAGGAGCTGTGCTCTCCCAAGTTGCCGGTACGTCTCCTATTCTTTACTTCTGTGGATTCCTCCCCATTAAGTTATTCCAAGCAGAGCAAAACTAGGACATCTGTAGCCTTAACTTGGCATAAAGTTGACCTTGGACAAGTGATGCCATTGGCTAAAGCAGGGGTCACCAGTCTTGGTCCTGGAGGGCTGGTTTCCTAGCAAAGTTTTCCTCCAACTTGCCTGGAAGTTTCAAGTATACCTACTAAGACCTTGATTAGCTTGTTCAGTTGCATTTGATCAGGGTTAGAGCTAAACTCTGCAGGACAACAGCGCTCCAAGAACAAGTTTGGTGACACCTGAGCTAGAGGGAGCAAGACATCTGCTTACTGTGATTACTGATCAATTTTTGCAATACTTACATTTAGCCAAGAGACTGAACCCATTGCAAGCCTCCTGGGGTCTATTCTTCACCAGGTTCCACTTTACCATCATTTACTGTCCAGGTAACCACAATATAAAAGCTGATCTTCCGACCAGACTCCTGATTATCCCAAATAACCACAGCCTATTTTTCTCCAGCTATCATTGGGTTTCATCCAATGGAACCTAGACAAGGAAATCTGTAATGTCAATCTCTCAAAGGCTCAAAGAGCCTGCTTCGCTGGAAGGTCTAGAAGAAAAGGTATTGATATACAACAATACATTCTGGACTTTATATCTACAAATTCCAAGCTCTGGACACCCTTGCAGCCAGTGGACCCCAAGACTTCAGTCTAGGTACTCGTGGCTGAACTGAAAATCCAAAAATGCCTCAGGTCAATCTGCCATGATGGCCAGCACAGTTGGAACTGCTTCCTCCCATGGTCCAAGTATGCACAGAACTCTTTCCACCAATATTCATATTTCTGTCAATATGTGTTTCACATGTTTCAGAGGAATGGCAGAACAAGATCAGAATATTACCTAATTTGTGCTTCACTTTCAGAATGAACACTTTTATAAAACCTGCAAGATTAGATATCATTGATTATAGTCACCGTCACTGACCTCTTTCACAAATGTTGTGACGGCCAGCACTGCCCAGACGTCAGTCAAGCTGAAGTAGTCTTTCTCACTGAAATATTTCAACAGTTTGTTATGTGCATCTTTCCAGCTGACTGCAGGACCGCTGATTCTGCTGATGATTCTGTCTTTGACCGTCTGTAGTTTAGTGGACCAGTCTGGTTCCTGATATAAGGAGGCCATGCACCTTCAGAAGAACAACACACTGCTCTCATTTCTGATATGCAAAACAATTCAGTGTGTGTGTGTGTATGTGTGTGTGTGTGTTACCAGGTGGATCCAGAGACTCCGCTCAGATAGAGCACACAGTCCAGAAGACCTGCTTTATCAAGCTGATCCAGGCATCCCAGCAATCCCACCATGGCTCTTTGTCCTCCTCCAGAACCCAGTAATGCAATGTTTGGCACATTTTCCTGAAAACACACACACATTCGTCAACTACAACTCCATTTGTTTGTAAGTTCAAGAAGAAATAGTCATGAAGTTTAAGATGTTTTACCTGATTGCAGCTTATGCCGATTTTCTCCAGGCTTTGCAGAACATCTTTTCTCCTTTTAGCTACAAACTCCTCCTCATTCTTATTCAGAGAGTGTGCGATTCGCACTTCACTGCACACACAGACCAAACAGGGCTGAATTTACCATCAAATATTTAATATACAGTTGAAGTCCGAATTATTCGCCCCCCTTAAATCTTTTCTTTTTTTTTATTTCCCAAATGATGTTTAACAGATTCAGGAAATTTTCACAGTATGTCTGATAATATTTGTTCTTCTGCAGAAAGTCTTATTTGTTTTATTTTGGCTAGAATAAAAGCAGTTTTAATTGTTTTAAAGCCATTTTGAGGTCAATATGATTAGCCCCTTTAAGCTTTTTTTGATAGTCTACTGAACAAACCATCATCATATAATAACTTGCCTAATTACCCTAACCTGCCTAGTTACCCTAATTAACCTAGTGAAGCCTTTAAATGTCATTTTAAGCTGTATAGAAGTGTCATGAAGAATATCTAGTCTAATATTATTTACTGTCATCATGACAAAGAGAAAATAAATCAGTTATTAGAGATGAGTTATTAAAACTATTATGATTAGAAATGTGTTGAGAAAACCTGCTCTCTGTTAAATAGAAATTGGGAAAAAATTAACAAGGGGGCGAATAATTCTGACTTCAACTGTATTTAAGGGTTGAATATAAAGTCTCAAGTACATTTTGAGTCATTTTTGACTACATTATTAATTATTGTGTCTATGAATCTGAGCTGGATTACCTTTCCTGGAAATTGGGTCCACTCATCTGTAATTAGTAAGTCGTCTGTCAACATTAAAATCCAACATTAAAGTTAAAATCTTTAATGTACCTTCAGACTTTGTCACATGCAAGTTATAAATGTTTTTAAAAATATACTCACGATTCTTGTCAAATCCTCAGGATCAGCAACAACACAGCAGCTGTTTATGTTTTGAAATGACAGAATATTATCTTTTATAGGCTGCAGATGAATATGAGGGGTGGGGTTGCTTCAGCTCAGGTCCTGTTTTGAAACTAAGCTGTTTCTGCTGCGTTACATGACTATGTTTACATTTTGTAGTTTTACCTTTATTCCAGACTTTTCATTAAAGAAACTATAATCCATTATTTCAAAAATGATCATGTTTTCCAATCATAGTAATATACAACTATTGTTGTTGGCAACTATAATGGAAACTCAGAATCAAATGTAATTTCATTGCTTTAAATAATATAAAATAATATTTTCTAGGACAGGATTCATAGAAATCAATGAAATTAATGTTTTATTTCAGCTGATTGCCATAAATTAATGTACTAAAATAACAAACTAATTCTAAAGTAAGTACATTTACTTAAAATATAAAAAATAAATAGCATTATTAAATCAATTTTAAACTTTTTTGTGAGAAATTGACTACAATTTTTCACTCAAAGATTTCTGTCTATTAATCAGTCTGGATTTTGTAAAAACAAACCAACAAACAACAGCTCAATTACAACAGTTTAAAAATCTAAATATATCCTGTGGGTCTGTGGATGAAAAACATCTCTGTGCATGTATTTGTATTGATTTAACTTAAGCTTTTGACACTGTGGTTCAAGAGATTTTATTATATGGACAAAGAAGTGTTGGTTAGACAATAGAGTCTCATGGTTTAAATCTTATCTTAGAGGAATATCTGTGTGTGTGTAGAAAAGGAAGGTATCAAATCAAATTTTATGAATGTGGTCATCGATGTCTCCCATGGACCAAGCTCTTGAACTCCTGCTTGGAGAAAGACATGTTTAAACAGTGGCTGAAACCTGTTGCTGAAAAATTTATTCTTTCAAGCTTTGTTTCTTCCCAGGTTATCTGAGTTCTGTTGCATGGTGGTGCTCCACTTATTTATTAAACTACAACTGTTTATTAACAACTGTTTATTAAGTTAAAGGTTTGATACTGATTAGAACTTGGAAGTGGCTATGAGGTCTTAAAATATTCTAATGAGACCTTTCAAAAGTCTTTAAAAGGTATTGCAATTACCTTTAGGATTCCTGCATATACCCTGGAAAGAGAAAAAAATCCGAATCTCCCATGAAACATAAATGGGTCGGGGGTACCACTAAGACCCTAATCAAAGTATTGTAGATTGTGACTAGGCATGTAGATGGTTAAAATATGAGGTGAATAATGAAGAGCAAGACCATGAAATCTTTGTAGGTCAGCATGAGAATGTTAAAAATCAATCTGAAACCTCACATGGAAGCCAGTGCAATTTCTCTAATTACTCTCTTACTAACATGGAGAGATGTGCCGTTTTGACCTGGTACTTCTTTTTATTCTCGCAGCTAAATTTTTGAACTGATTGAAGCTTATTTAAGGTGTCTTTACCATGTTAGATGGTAATATGGAAAATTCATGGTTTCAATTTTATGCAGATGACACTTTATTAGCCATCCTGAACTGTTCACCCTGCTGTGTATTTTTCCCTAATAGCACAATAGTTTTAACTCATTTAACTGATTTCTTTTCTCTTTGCTATGATGACAGCACATAATATTAGACGAGATATTCTTCAAGACACTTCTATACAGCTTAAAGTGACATTTAAAGGCTTAACTAGGGAAATTAGGCAAGTCATTGTATAACAGTGGTTTGTTCTGGAGACAATCAAAAACTAATATTGCTCAAGGGGGCGAATAATATTGACCTTAAAATGGCTTTTAAAAAAATAAAAACAGCTTTTTTTTTTAAATAAAACAATTAAGACTTTCTCCAGAAGAAAAATACTATAGGAAATACTGTGAAAAACTCCTGAATCTGTTCAACATCATTTGGGAAAATTAGAAAAAGAAAAAAAAAATATGCAGGAGGGCGAATAATTAAATATGTCATTCCTATTGCTTTGCTCCTACATGATCAGAGGCTCTGGATTATTTACAATCAGCAACTAATTCTTTCTTTAAGATGTTCAGAAAAATCACATGTAAGCATTGACAGATCTGAGTGCAAAGCTGAGTACTGACACTTATAGTTCATTTTCACATTCCTTTTTCAGCTGCGCTCTCCGCACCCTGTCATTATCAGAGAACCACACTTAAAACTGTGAGGAACTACTGATAAGGTGTGTATGTCATAGCGGATAACAGCCTTAATAAACACCCCATTTGCATTTCATATTGCCTTATTGCCTAGAACACACTGCGACACTGCGGTGTCAGAAGCGAAAGAAATTTAGACAGCTAAAATTAAAACATACCACTATTTAAAAACGCTGTACGTTAGTTTTTGACTCTTCTAAAGCAATTGATCTCAAACTTTTTTCACCAAGTAAAACCACTGGAAAAAAATTTCTATTGAAATACAGTAGCATAGCAGGCCCAGTAAAGAAGCTACAGCTCTGCACAGTTCAAAAATGTGGCAGATGAATTCCTATTATTAAGAATATTTATTATCGTCAGTCATTTATCCTGTGCACGCTTTTTTTGCATCTCAAATGCCTCTCACGAGCGGGTGTGTGCCGTTTGCGCCCGTGCTGTTCTCACGTAAAGCCACCGGAGGCCGCTGTCGAACAACCATCTGTTCGACTGACTGAATGATTGACTGGGCGGCCGGCTAATTAGCCGACCCACCCTCCTCCTCCTTCTCCTTCCCTAAACCCAAGCAACGATTTACAAAAGTTGTCCAGAAAAAGAAAAGCCCACGTCTGATTTTGACCTCGTTTTCGGATTTCACCATATCCTCGCCCTGTTATGAACTCGCTTGCTTTATTTTTTGGATTCTGTTTTTGTCTTACCTGATTTCTGGAACCGCTTTTCCCCGAATTCAAATGTCGCCGTTGTCATCGCTTCCCTTCTGGCTCTCCGCTCCGCCGACCAACACAACGAGCTAACCGGACAAACTGGTTGCGGCGGGAAAAACCTCCACACGGAGGTGAACCGTCAGCCGGCGAGCACAAAGAGGAGCAGCGTCACACCGCCCTGTAGCGTTCACTTGAAAAAAAGAAATGCGGCCATACATACCTCCGGCCACGTAAATCACGGTCTCCAGAAATGCCGCGGGGCTACGTTTTCAGAATGAGCTTGGGTTGGGTTTTATGCTACCTTTTGGCCAGGTCGTCATTGTAAATGGTTCCTAACTGACTTACCTGGTTAAATAAAGGTTATTGTATTTATAAATGACAAGGAACATTTTTTTTAAATTTGTTTATAAACTAATTTCGAGAGGCTTATGATTAACACGGCTGGCACCTCATTAGCTCTGTAATCTGCCCTATTAGATGATAATGTAAGAATTATAAATAACCAGAGATTTTTACTCCAGTTATCTTCGTCTTGAAACTTTCCCCCCTTCCCCCCCTACTTCCTCCCCTTTTTTCCAACAGGGCGACACGGCGGTCCAGTTGCTAGCACTGTTGCCTCACAGCAAGAATACTGCTGGTCCAACCTCTTATCGGGCCGGTTGGCATTTCTGTGGGGAGTTTCCATGTTCTCTCTGTGTTCGCGTGGGTTTTCCCCGGTTTTCTCCCACCGTCCAAAAACAGAAACCATAGCCAATCAACTAAACCAAATCATCACCCAAGACAACCTTAGTTTACACTTCTCACACGGCGACAAGCAGGGGAGTTCTCGAGACCTACCTGAGCGCGAACTCCCCCCTCGCCCTGTTACGCACCGTCTAGGGATGGTGCACAACATGAAAGACAAGACAAAAAAATGAATTCAAAGATTTATTGGGGTTTGAATTCGGGAGCTGACAAGGCCAAAATAACAAACAAAAATTCCTTTATATTAAATCTCTAACTTACCTGATCACAAATAAAAGAAAAGAAAGTACAATTCACTTCCCTAACTACCTAACACAAAAACAGAGGCAAAACGGTTTTACAAAGAAAATGGCGTCAAACTCCTTACTATCCCAATATATACACTATTTACAATCTATTTACAAAAACAGGCAACCATATTTGAAGGACAATCCAAAATCAATGTCAGCAGGCAACAAAGGTCAAACAAGCCGGTGGAACAAAGTATCATAAACAAAGCAAACACTAAAACAAACAGTACTCACAATTCTCAACATAATCTCAGAAGTCAAACAAAACAAACAGTACTCACAAATCTCAATATTCTCTCAGAAGTCAAACAAAGCAAACAGTACTCACAAATCTCAATATTCTCAGTCCTAACACATCCAAAAACTCTGCACTATACCACAATCAAACATTTCAACAAACACAAGCAAGTGACCAAAAACAAGATGGCTGCCAAGGAAGTGGTGTCATGGCTTTTTAAAACACTGTAGGCCAATCAGGATCAAGCAAGCTGGAAGTGGCCAATTGGATGTGTTCTAAGCAAAACAGGAACAAGAAAAAAAAACAGATGAGACAAGACAAACATAGGATTGTAACAGCCCTTCTAACTGGAGGGAGCCCCGGGCTCGAAGATATTACGCAAGCCAATGACACTTTATTGATCATCAGCTAAGTGTGAACTCTTGAAATTAATTCTTTAGAACAGGAGCAGAGTAATGCAATATTTTAAGTCGCAGTGATTATGGTTGACAACGGTGTCATTGATCATCTGTGTTGCATAATGAAATCAAGCATAAAGGATCATGTTCATGACAGATTTATGACAAATTGTGTTGTCTCAGTAATGTCAGGTTGTCAATAACAAAACAGGTTGAGATGTGTTTGTCAAGTTGCTATAACAAACATTGTCAGTTTTGCTTTTAAAATGATGAAACTGAGCAAATGACACTTCATGGCAGTTATAAGCATGCGAAAAATGTCATTTACGGTTACGTGTCATGTCATGTACGCCCCTTCAAGTGCTACCGATCATTGATATGATAGTCCTGTTTAAAATGTTTCACCATTAAGTGTAGCTGGGAGATGAATTTGGGTTTAAAAAAATCAAACATTAAAGACTTGACTGATGGCCAGATCATCATGTTTGTGTCATTTTTACCCAGGCAGGCCCGGATTGGCTAATCTGGAGGACCGGGAGAATTTCCGGTGGGCCGGTCTGTTTTGTGGCCGTGAGGGCCGATGTCCCTAGCTGTTTGCACTCTCAGCAGTCACACTTTTTTCATCTGTTTGTTTATTTGACTATATGTGATGGGGCGACGTATAGGCTTGGCACTACATTTCCCATAAGTCCGTAGCAGAGCGTAACAGGTGTCAATACGCGCTATAAATAGACGCACAACAGCATAGCGTGCTTTTGGTTGTCATTCATTGAGGCTACAAACAAGCGGGTATCAAGCTCAGGTAATTTGTTCTGTAACTATTATGGTAATAGTGACTATGCTCGTTCATTGTGTCAGGAGAGCTGTTTGTTTATTTGATGTCATCATTTCAAGTTTGATTGCATGCATTTAGAACAATATGTTGTTAGATCAGCTCTGTGTAACGGAGGATATAAAGTGCCCTCACGCATGGGATTTATTGCGAGGTAAGAAATTTGAGAAGGCGGGGTAAACAGTTATTTTATTGTGTTGTGTTCCAGAATCCCACCCGTGTTAATGGTGATTGGCCTGGTGACACAGTCGGCAGATTTTAACTGATATGCTACTTGTGTGAATTACATTCAAAAGGTAAAAGGAACTTAAAATGCTACTTACTTTAATATTTACTATTAATAATGTGATTATTTAAATAAAATGGTTTTATAGGTTCTCAAAGAAGAAACTCTGGATTGGGTTTTAATCCCTTTCGGTTAGATCCAGTTATGTAAGGTATTTAAATTTTATCCAAAGCCATTTTTAATGCAGATTTAATATTCCCAAATATTTATTAAGTCGTTTTTTGTGTTACAGGACTAGCACGACTATTGTTACCATTTTTGTTTGTTGATTTAGGTGAAAGGCCCTGTTTGTTGTGTGTTGTGTACAAATATTATTGTAACTTTTTCTTTTTGTTTTGTTATCCCCCTTGTGTTTTAAAGGGCAGCCGCTAGGTCTCCTCCGTGGGTGTGACTGGCACTGGTGAGGTGGTGGGACCCTTTAACGGTTTGTGGTGATTTGTGTGTATTTTTGGAGTGCTGTGGTTGCTGTAGTGTGATTGCTGTGCTACTGGGTGTTAAGAGCTACTCATTTGTTGCATCTTCTCACACTTCGTCCTGCCCTGTTGTAAGCCTGTGGTTTGCTCTGAATGTTTTGCTTTTTTTTGTGTTTGCTTTCTTTAGCATTCTCTTCTTAAATTGAAACTGCCCCATTTATGCAATGTTTTAACTAGTAACTGGTTTTGTACTTTATAAAAAAAACCTTTTTGAATGAATCATAGAGTTCTGATTAAGTTTTGTGGCTATTATTCACTCATCATTATCTGATGGGTTCACATAGCTTTACTCTTTTTATTCATTATTTTGCCGCAGCGCCGCTCTTTTCATTCATTTTCTCGCAGCCCCTTGAGCAAAATGCTGCCTGCAGGTTAACTAACGTTAATGATGATGATGTAATGTAACTATCGACCCCAAACAGTGGCACTTTAGTGAATATAAGAATTCAAATAACTGATATTAATGAATAATACACCTGCTTAATGAAAATCAAATGATTCACTTCATTAATAAATCTGACATAACTTGATCAGAAATTTTAAAAGGGGAGAAAAAGATTGAGCCATCAAAAGAAAGTAGTGCTGTGTCTTGGGTCACAAGTCATTACTTATTTTTTATTGCCATATTTGTAGCGCCATTGTGGTCCAGTGGTAGGCACATTGCGTCTTAACGCCGCGGACCCATGTTCGAATCTCACCTGTAATATTAGTATTAATTTATTTTTCATTTTAAGACATATAATACTGTTCTGGTTGTTGAACAATTGGATTTCTAAACCAGCTGTTTTCTTGAAAAAGACGTGATAGTGAAATTAGAAACTGAATTGGAATCAGTCGTGAACTGAGGTGGCCCGGTCTGGCTTGAAACTCCAGGGCTGAAAATGAGTCCCACTCCGGCCCTGTTTTTACCCAATAATAGCTTGGACCTCCTCCATCAGTCTCTCTCTGTCGTTTGAGATGTTTTTTCCAGCGACGTTCATTAAGTCAGTGATTATCTCAACACTGTAGGCTCTTTGAAAAGTGGTACATTTGCTCCTCCAGGCAGTAAAACTAATACTAACATTTCGTTTCTCTAATTGAAGGTTGAGTTGTGAGACCTGCTTTTTACAGTTGGATCATAAAAATATGCAGTGCTTTTAAACAATGAATGATGCATAAATTCTGAACTGTTGCTTCTGTAAAATATGTGATTAGTACACTCCATATACAGCTCGATTGCTCCCTTTTTACTTTTATTTTTGTGATGCTGGCACAAAGACTTTTTAAATATGGAAAAGGTAAGGTTACAACTAGGGATGTAACGGTATTGTAAATACCGTCATACCGCAATATTATTTTTTTTCGATATTACCGTAGTCGCATGACTCGGTAAAACTATAGGTCTTCTGAGAAAATTTGCTCAGGCGAATGAAGCGAACGGGAGGTAGCGGAAACTACAATTCCCATCAGCCCATGCTTGACCATCATCCCTTGGTCTGTTGTCGCTACAGATCCAGTAATGTGGAAATGGAGTGTGCTGCTAGTAGCGGGGATGAAAAAGAGCTGGAAAACCCTAAAGCGGGTGTTGTCGCCGCGCGCGTACTGAATAGCGGTGTTGTCGCGCGAGTTCTTATCAGCTGTGTTGTCGCACGCGTACTGAATAGCAGTGTTGTCGCGCGAGTTCTTATCAGCTGTGTTGTTGCACGCGTACTGAATAGCGGTGTTGTCGCGCGAGTTCTTATCAGCTGTGTTGTCGCGCGCATACTGAATAGCGGTGTTGTGGCGCGAGTTCTTATCAGCAGTGTTGTCGCGCGAGTTCTTATCAGCTGTGTTGTCGCACGCGTACTGAATAGCGGTGTTGTCGCGCGAGTTCTTATCAGCGGTGTTGTCGCGCGAGTTCTTATCAGCTGTGTTGTCGCGCGCGTACTGAATAGCGGTGTTGTCGCGCGAGTTCTTATCAGCTGTGTTGTCGCGCGCATACTGAATAGCGGTGTTGTCGCGCGAGTTCTTATCAGCAGTGTTGTCGCGCGAGTTCTTATCAGCAGTGTTGTCGCGCGCGTACTGAATAGCGGTGTTGTCGCGCGAGTTCTTATCAGCAGTGTTGTCGCGCGAGTTCTTATCAGCAGTGTTGTCGCGCGAGTTCTTATCAGCAGTGTTGTCGCGCGCGTACTGAATAGCGGTGTTGTCGCGCGAGTTCTTATCAGCAGTGTTGTCGCGCGAGTTCTTATCAGCAGTGTTGTCGCGCGAGTTCTTATCAGCAGTGTTGTCGCGCGAGTTCTTATCAGCTGTGTTGTTGCCGCGCGCGTACTGAATAGCGGTGTTGACGCGCGAGTTCTTATCAGCTGTGTTGTCGCGCGAGTACTGAATAGCGGTGTTGTCGCGCGCGTTCTGATCAGCTGTGTTGTCGCACGCGTACTGTAAAGCAGGACGGAGGTTGTGTCGCGTCGCGGGGGCACTTTTGATCATTTTGGAAGGGAACTTTCTATCCAAGACTAAAAAGGGCATGTGCACTGCACAGGTTGAGCACTGTGTGTGCACGTGCCTGCAAGTTGGGGAATACGACTTATAACAGTCATGGGGACTGCAGAAACACAGCACACTGTTCAGATTGATGCAGACATGAGACCTCTATCTCACTCATGGCTTGTCCTCTCAAGTGGGGGAAAGACAATGCACAGCGTTACCCACTGCTGTCAACCTGGGCCAAGTCATATCTCTCTGTCCCAGAAACCTCAGTCCCAAATGAGAGGGGTTTTTTCTGTTGCGGGGGACATTGTAAATACCCAGAGATACCAGCTTTTACCAGATTATATTTATATGATAATTTTCCTTTAAACCCATCTCTATCTAAGTGAGTGAGTGATTAAATGTTGAATGTGATGAGTTTTCAACAATACTAAATTGAAACTTTATTTTTTTACATGGTTTAATATTTTTTTGTTATTAAAATTGAAGGTCCTGTTTCAAAGCTAACAGATAGATGGCTAATTTGTATGTCTATGACACTTTTGGCACTTTTTTGGAGTATTTTCATAAGTTTAGTTTTTTCCTGTAAATGATTCAATAAATACCGTACCGTGACATTCATACCGAGGTATTACCGTACCGTGAAATTCTGATACCGTTACATCCCTAGTTACAACCATTTAGTTTGAATGGCTGACTCAGAAATTGTTTCATTAATTCAAGCAATCAGGAGAGTTTGAGGCGAGGCGACCTGGTCGATTACATGTTTTAATTATGAATTGCCTTCACATTAGGGGTGTCAAAATAATAGTTTCTTCGGTGCACCGCAATGCAGACGTGAATAATTCAGTATCGGTTCAGTAATAATCAAAACCGGTTATTATGTACTGAAGTCATTTATCTCAAATGTCGTGAGTGAGGCAAGCACGGGAATTTACAACACTCTAGATGCCAACTACTTAAACATAATTGCCATAATTTCCATGCAGTATGTGGGCCAGATTTAAGTGTCTGATGTGGGCCGGATCTAGGCCAGAATAAAAGCAGAATGTGGCCCAGAATAGGCTCAGTTCTGGTTTATTTGGTTGAATTCTGGCTGACATGTGGAATGTCTATGGCTTAAATGTGGCCCATATCTGGCAAACAGGAGTGGACCGCCCTATTATCATCATTCCATGCAGTATGTGGGCCGGACTTAAGTGTCTGGTGTGGGCCGGATTTGAGCCACATGAATTTTGCTATCTGGGTAGGCTCACACCTCTACTTCACATAGTCCAAAATACTAGAAAAACATTTCAAACTACCCAAAACGAAAAGGTAATAGTCATACTCAAGAGCCCTGGATTGTCCAGTCAGCATCCTAAACCACAATGATCAGATTTATAACAGTGAGCATTTGAGCTGAATTGCAATGACCAGGAGTAAACCTTCATTTCAGAGAACAGTTTATTAATTCGTCATTAGAACAGTGATGCAAACAGAAGTGGACGTGGAGTATATATATATATATATATATATATATAGTGGAAGTGGAAGTGGAGTATATATATATATATATATATATATATATATATATATATATATATATATATATATATATATATATTAATAAGAAGTTGTTTTGATTCAGTTTGCAATCTGCACAGTTGATTTGATTTTCAGATGTGCTGATTACTGAAATCAGTGCTAAAAGATTACACTGAAACTGAAATTATACTGATTATACTGAAAGATTTGAGATAAAAGACAAACAGAAAAGGTGTCAACATTATGCACAACTGGAAAAAGACTTTGCATTGAATCAACCACTGACATTTTTGTGTCCACACTACTGGGGTCTGTTCTTCGTACCTCGCTTAAATGATCTAAGATGATTTGGCAGATCCTGGATCTTTTAATCTTGATAACTGATCTCTGGCTAATTTGGTTCTTCAAAGAAGTTCGCGAATCAGATTAAAATGTCTGGATAAACTGATCTGAGATCGCTGCATGTGTTGTGAAGGACAGATCTATCAATCCTCGAAATCATGATCAGCAATGCAACGATTGGCTGACGGCACAGCAGCGTAATGACATCATCTGATTAATATTCAATTATCCATGTGAGCAAAATTACATCAAATTAGCAGTAAACCGTTTTTTAAATATGACACGCAATAACCTTCCACATGTGTTGTGAGCTGCAGGCTTTACACTGTCATGTGTCAAGACAAGAGTATTCATCATGAATTTAGTTCTACATTTAGAAATGATTTTCTTTATTATAGTAGCCGTTTTTTTAATTGGTGTAAAGAATAACTGGAGGTTTACAAAAGCATATTGGTAAAGGCGTCTGCAACTTTTGTGAAGCATCAAGTCACCGTCATATTAACTGTCAAAACATGTTTATGACAGCATTAATGTATTATTGCTTTTTAAAAAATTGACATATTGTATTTTGTGCATTTTTATTATACACAAATTGTACTAAAATGATCTAAAAAGTTCATATATATAGTTTAAAAAAGGTTACTATTTTCCCAAGTGTATATAATTACTACTGTAAGAAAATATCAGAATTGGGAACATACTTTCAGTATTTTCTTTGCATGAACTGAGCCGATCTAATCCTGTTTATATGAATTGAGCCTGTTGCCTTCCAGGTTTGATCTACCAGAACTGTTGCTATGACAACAACTCTTGGATCAGCTTTGAAGAACGAAACGATCCTGGATCGTGTCAAATCGTCAACATCTAAATCCAGCTAATTGAGTAATCCACGTACGAAGAACGGACCCCTGGTGTTCAGATCATCATTTGGGCCACTTTTACTCAATGATGGCTCTGATCTGCTGCATCAGTCTTCCTTTGTTGTTTGAGATGTTTTTTCCAGCGACGGTCATTAGATCCGTGATCTTCTGTGTGCTGTAAGCTCTTTGATTTGTGGTATATTCATTCCTCCAATCCTCAAGTTGATCTGAAGAAAGAGCGACACAGTTACACAGCTGATATATTCCAGTGTTATTCAGATTCAGGTCTTCAGCCGGGTCAGGCCTGCAAACAAGTTTAATCTGGCCCGCGAGATGATTCTGTGTGTTATAAAAATGAGCAGCAATATTTTAATAAAAGAAGCTGCTGTTCCAATTGTGTCCACTGGATGGCAAACGGTTAATTTCATCTGATAAAGCAGGGATTCTCAACCGGTGAGCTGCGGCCCGCTAGTGGGCCTCAGTGATCCTTCCGGTTGGGCCACAAGACAGCTTAAAATGAACTCTCTCTATAATACTATAGTTTTTGGATTTGATTATTAATATGCTTTCAAGAGTTCACACCTAGCTCATGACTTACGACAGCTCATTTGGCATGCTGTCCCGGGAGAGAGGCCTGAGCTCAAGGCATTCCTCGAGTCCAGGGCTCCCTCCCTTTGTGGGGCGAAGGGAGATTGAGTTTAGGGCGATCTCAAAACTCCCCCGCAGCTAGCCTAGGTGAACGTCCGTTTAAGAGGTCTATGATGCAGAGCAAAATATTTATTTATTTATTTTTTAGGCTTTGGGAGAGAACTGAAACCCTGGGGGGGGGAACGTGCTAGCGCCACGCAGAGATACCAGAAGCTCAAGTAGGGAGCCGGAGCCATTGGTATTCCTGCTGGTTGCTGGGCCGCCTTGCCACCTATTTTGGATAAAGGTGGAAGAAGGGGGAGGAGGGGGGATTCTTCAAGGCGAAGATAGTTGTAAGTGGAAAAGGAGGAGATATATAGGAATTTGGGATCCTTGATTGGAGGATCGTGATTTGCTAATATGAGCCAGCTGGTTTAATCATGAGTACGTACTCCTCTCGAAATTAGTTTAATAAATTAAGCTTCACTTGTTAAAATGAACAAAGTAATGCACTTTCTCCAGTTCTGTGATTGATAACTTCAAACTCGGCGCAAAGACAGCCTCATGATCGCGTCTGCAACTAGTAGACAACACGCAAGTCTCTTCATTCACAAACTATGCCTGAAGTAAAAGTGAAGGTCTCTCTTTGTGCATTATTGTGTGAACTATTTAATATATCTGCGTAGTTGTCTAAAATAATCTCCTGTGAGTGATTTAAACCAGACGCGCACCCATACAGGAGGATCTAGCGAAGCTCTTGTTTCTGCCATAGAATGTAAAATAAACTTGCAGATGAGCTTTAGACGCGCTCTGGCGGAGCTGTTCACTGATCCTGTCAGCGATCTCCTAATAATATCCAGCTGCAAACTCAACCGCCATCAGATCCCTGCATTTCAACAGATTTAGGGTGTTTACTGCATTTTACATTTGTCTGTATATTAAAGGGCCATGAAAGCCCCTCGTTTCAGCAGGGTGTTTTCACACCTCTACTTTGGAAAAAGTCAGAAAAGTGGGCGTGTCCAGCTCTGTTTAGGGGGAGTGTCGGAGGAAGAAAAGTGGGATGGTGTGGGTGTGTCTTTTTGGGCACGCGCGAGTTTCAGAGTCAAAACACACACCCCACACACACACATATACACACACACACACACAGTAGAAAGAGATGGTGTTTAACCTACATGGACATCTGTAGTCAAATTATTTGGCAAATTATTAAATGTTGGACTTTAACTGCAGTTTGGCTCTTTCATTCAGGGAATTCATTCATGCCCCTCGCGACAAACGAGATATTTTATTCGAGGATCTGCTCTAAGCGTGTATTTTCATGCAATGTTTGATACCGCACGGCGAATGAGAGAAAAAAAAACCCTCCGCATTTCCCGGAAACTTAGATGCACACGGCAGGTAGTGTCAGTGTGTTATTCCGGTCACAAAATGCGGTGAAAATCCTACACAAGGTTAAAGTTTGGTTGTGGTGCTAACATGTTTACACTCTGTGCAATAGTTAACTTAGTTCGATACGAACAAACTGAATAAACAAAGAGCACTGGTCGCTCACTTACCAAATCTGTAGAGACAGGACAATCACCAGCAACTAGAGCCGCGTCTTTATTAAGAGGAGACTACAGGCGAATCCGGATCTCAGCGTTTGCAGATGAGAACAGCTCTCAGGTAAACAATAATCCTCCTTAGACACGTAAGTTATTGTTGTGGAGCGTCGCGTACACTGTTAATCCACACGTGACTCCAGCTGAGCTCTCACAGAGAGAAAATGAAAACAAAACTTCACTGCAGCAAACTATAAAAGCAACACTTCACGCTTGTTTTGCCAACACAACGTGGCGTCTCTGTCGTCTAAACACTGTGACAGTAATGAATATTAATGAAGTTGCACAATAGAGCGCGCTGATTGGTTTGAACCAAGCTTTACTCATGCATTAATGCAGCACACTGTAAGACGTAATAAGACTCACTCTGGCACAGACGTCCAGTCTGCACGCTGGAATACATGATATTATCTCATGACCGTGACGCAGCTTCAAAAATTAGTTTCAAACCGGAAGTACGCAAAAACAACCAATTTACACTTTTTAGTGAAATATAGGTGTCCTAATAGTGTTTTTAGCAGTGTGGGACACATATATGACAGTCAACAGCTCAAAAAATGTGTTTTGGTGTTTCATGACCCTTTAAAAAAAATAGATATTTAAAAGTGGATATTTAGTCAGTTCAGCTTAAAGCAGAAGCTGCTCTTTTGCAATGTCCCTCTTGACCTGTGGTTCTCTTTGAAAATATATAATATATAATTAAGTTTTAATATATATAAAGTATATATATATATATATATATATGTGTCATTTTGACGTTGTGGAGCCCGCTGTTTAAATATCAAATGCGCTCATATGTGTGCCCATAGGCATTTTGGTCTAAAAAAAAAAGCAGGTGTGTTAAGGTACATTCTGGGGCGTTGCTATTTTGAGAAACTATAATAGATTATTCAATAGACCAGTACAAAGCCAGTCTAAAGTCCAGCGCAGAGCACATCAGTTGTGCTCCTCGCTTACACGCTGCTTAATACAGATGTACAGCAATATGCAAATATAAAGGGCTGAAATATTACAAAACATTATTTTCTAGCCTACAAAATATAATCACGATACCATCATGCCTTCATCTCGGGAGGCTTTTTCAGTTCATTCATAACAATTTGCTTTTGTATAATGTTATTATTATTAGCAGTATTATTTATTATATCCATATTTATCTTTGTTTTATTAAAAACAAGCTTAGATTTGTCCACCTGTCAGGTTTTAGACCGCATGTGTATTTGGAAATAACTCAGTATTTTGAACACACTTGGTCCTTATTGTTCATTTATTCGTTTGCTGGAAATTAGAACTGAATTTAGAAATAGTTTTGAAACAAATCTTTGCGCTTAACAAACGAAATTAATTATTTATAGACTAATGGTCCTGTCTGTACAACATGTTTCCCTATCCACAAGAGTGAAAGTGAAAGTAAAGAAAGAGGAGGTTCATCTCTCATTCTGGTGCTGTAGATGCCCTGTTTAACTGTTTACTCGCAACTGGTTCTTAAAGGGAATGGGAGATGAGACTCTGATTGGTTTATTCTAAAAGCACACCTATAACTCATTAAGAGAATAAGCTCAACCCTGTTAGACCATGCACCATGGCGCAAAGCGTCCTTAAAATAGCAAAAGTGGATTCAGGCATGACCTTAATGCGTTTGCGCCCTGCGCTTTGCACTTTGCGCATGAATCATCAAAATAGAGCCCTTAATTTTATATATAATTAAATTTAAATAATTTTTTTTATAAAATGCTGATAATAGAAAATAATAGAAGGCACAACAAATGTATTAGAGGTATAAATAAATAATACATTTGTACATAAATAATACATATATTTATAATAAATAACGGTTAAAATAAGCATTTCATACAAATATTTTAGAGAAAAGATATTTTTTAGGTGGGCCTACACTCTAAACAATAACTCAAGAGCTCTGTTACCACTACATAGTTCAATACATTATTGTAACTTAAAAATTCTAAAATGCTGATTAGATTAAAACTTTTAAGTTGCCAGAATAATTTTATTCAGTTTTCAGAACAGGAAAATATCGATAATTACATCAATTTAAAAATGCAGCTAATTTAAAGGTAAACATATCTGTCAGTTGCTTTAAAACAATATTTAACTTGTAGCAACCCAAAGAAATTGGGTCGATAACTCACACTAATGGAGTTGTTTTGCATTTTTAGGTCCACACACTGATGTTTTTTGGCTATTTTTTACACTGATAATATGGGACAGTACATGTTTTTGTTTTGTAAAACAATGAAAACCTGTAGTTTAATACAAATAAAAAACTACAGAAAAACAAAAATGTTTTATAAATGTATTTCTTACAAGCATGAACTGTAAATTTGAAAACAAACAAAAAAACATTTTTGGCTACTTAATTACATGCACATTTTCAAGTTTAGAATTAACCCCAAATAAATTAAGTACATAACACTGCATATAACGGTCTCCAGCATCGTCTAGTTATTACGGAGCCGTTTTGACAGGAGCAGTGATGTTCACGACGCGTCCAAGCATTTATATATCAAAATTAACTTTATTTTTCTTACAAATGCCACAAACAAACACGGTCAAAAACGGCCGCTATTCCTGCCAGCTGATCACCCATCACCAGTGAGCCCTTACGTAAGCAGGTGAGCTGATGTGACATGTAGGTGGAGTTTATCTATATCATTAAACCACTCGATCAGTGACACAGAATAATACTTTATAATATTATTAATCTTAATCATTCATGCAACAAATAAAATATAAATATATATAAATATCACAAATGGCTCCAACACTGGATTTGTTTTTAATTTTAAAATAAAAAATGTAAAAATGTCTCTGGTTGAAGAGGAAAATATTTAGCAAACATAATAAAGTTTGTTGTCTGATCTTCATTTTTGTTAGATGTTGTCGTAACTTTTATATATTAATGCAAACTGTTGCGTTAGTTTGTTTTGTTTTGTCTAAACAATATTTTTAGAGTGTACAAGCATTGATCAGAGAAAGAAGTGGGCCCAAAGTGAACTCCTGCGATAAAGAATCCTGAATCAGCATCAGTTTTACAGCCTTCTCAGGGAGAAAGAGCACATCTCTGCGCTGCCACACCACACTGAGCTGTTCTCAAAAGGAAATTTACTTTTTCACATTTTGTCAGTTTTGTGGCTAATTCGTACAAGTTTAGTCGTACGAAATAAAAAAAAGGCGTGGCACCCACACCCCTAAACCCAGCTATCATTGGTGGACAAGCAAATCATACTAAATTGTACAAATGAGACTGTAAGAGTCCATATAAATTAGCAAATAAATCAAAAAGTTAGGAATATCTGTGAGATTGTGTTGTCCTCACGCTCCAGCTTAGGGCCCTATCATACACCCGGCGCAGTGTGGCGCAAGGCGCGGCGCAATAGTCTTTTGGTAGTTTCAGCTTGGCGCAAGAGTGGTTTTGAGGCGTTGCGCTACGCTGTTTAAATAGCAAATGCATTAGCGCTCATTTGTGCGCTCATAGGCGTTCTGCTCTAAAAAGAGAGGTGTTCTGAGGCGGACCGCTGGCGCATCGCTATTTTGAGAAACTATAATAGATTTTTCAATAGACCAAAACTAACCCGGTCTAAACTCCAGCACAGAGTTGCACCTCACTTACACACTGCTTAATACACACAAGAGAGCAATAGGCAAATATCTTTACATATGAAAAACATTAAATATTAAGGATATATATAGGATATAATAGGAATAGATATAGGATATAAATATAAAGGATTAAAATATTACAAAACATATTATTTTCTAGCCTACATAAATATGAAAAATCACTGCTTTTATGTCTTCTTCATCTCGGGAGGCTTTTTCCGTTCATTCATAACAATTTGCTTTTGTATAATGTTATTATTATTAGCAGTATTATTTATTATATCCATATTTATATTTGTTTTATTAAAAACAAGCTTAGATTTGCCCACCTGTCAGGTTTTAGACCATATGGGGCACAGCATGTGTTTTAGGATATAACTCAGGTTTTTGAGCACATTTTGTTATTGTTTTTCATTTTTTCGTTTTTCTAGAAATTAGAACTGAATTTAGAAATAGTTTTGAAACAAATCTTTGCGCTTAACAAACTAAATTAATTATTTATAGACTAATTGATGTCTGTGCATAAAGGTTTCCCTATCCAAGAGCGAAAGTGAAAGTGATCCATTATCTCTCATTCTCACGCAGTAGATGCTCTGTTTAACAGTTTTCTGTTAAAACACTGTTCACTGTTTGCTTGTGAAATGCTCAGTTTTTCCACTTAGACTTACTTTGCGTCCTGTAAATAGTGAATGCGCTCTTGGTGTGACGCAGCTGGCTCTTAAAGGGAATGGGAGATGAGACTCTGATTGGTTTATTCTCAAAACACACCTATAACTCATTAAGAAAATAAACTCAACCCTTTTAGACCATGCGCCACGGCGCAAGGCAGATTTCCCGTCCTTAAATTAGCAAAAACGCATCCTGACACGCCCTGAAAGCGTTTGCGCCCTGCGTTTTGCGCTCTGCGCATGGACCGTCAAAATAGAGCCCTTTGTGTTTTATGCTGATCAAATTAAAACAAATCTGAAGTTGTTGTTTTTAAGATATAAATATACCATAATTTTACTGATCCAGCCCACTTGGGAATAGATTTACCTCCATGTGGCCCCTGAGCTAAAATGAGTTCGACACCCCTGAGCTAGACGATCTTAACTTGCCTCCACAGTTGACCACATTAAAGAGAGGGATGTGAATCACGGTTGGAGTGTTTATGCCTTTAAACACATAGAAGTCCTTTGGTTTCTCGATGTCTTGATCAGGAATGTTGACTTGAGGGAAAGGGATGTTTAGCTTCCTGCACGTCTCCGCAGCTCCTCTCACTGTCTGAAGTAGAAAATCAACAACGATTTAACACTCTGTAGCTCTGAGATGCTGAAACTCACTAGTAAACCTGTAGAGGATTATTTCTGCATAACATACCATGAAAGGATCGCCTTCACTGAAATCCAGAGAAATGATGAGGTCTGTGTTTCTTTCTTTTCTCAGCACTGAGAGGTAGGGTGAGTTCAGCAACAGCCCGGCATCTTCATAGTCTCTGGTATCACTTGTCCGCAGAGCAGGGGGAATTGCTCTATCTGAGGGATCACAGTGTAGAATGAGTCTGTTTATTGTTCACACTGAATTCCCAGACAATAGCAGGTCTGTTCTCACCTGTCATGTTGTGGAGAAAGTTATAATTCCTGCCCCAGATCCACAAAGCCATGCATACATTAATGCGCATCCACATGCTAATATCTGAAATTCAAATTGAATAAATAGTTCTTATTTTGTCTTTTTTTAGGGAACTGAACAGTTCTTTGGTGAAACTATATCTTTAGCTTTATAATACATGACTGGTTGTCTAAAAAAAACTAAAGAAGGTCTCAACATTTACTCGAATACAGTACCTACTACATCTGGTAACCAACTGGACCTGATCTACCTACTACGTACTGCTCCACTTGCTGATAACCCCAGTGGACACCTTAGACTAATTCCTCCTCACCCAAAACCTAAACCTCAAAGGCTGTCTCATGCCACCCCTCTGCTCCAATAGTCCTAACAATGTGCTCTACCTTGTCTAGGCTGGCCCACAACCATCCACACTTACCCACTTCCTTAACCCTAATGGATTGGTAATTGTCAATATAGATTTTGAATTGTTAATCTGATATCCCTCATTCAGACTGCCTCATCCCACCCCCTCCCCTGTTTTTGCCACTCCTGTTTTTGTTCTGTGTGCTGAGAGAGATCTCAGTGATCAGAGGTCCAGAATAATATTTTCCACCAATAATGATTCTACGGGCTCAAAGCCCAAAGAGAGTTGATGGGTGGAAACACACACAAGAAAACAAACCCTTACCCCAAAACTGACAGATTACCTGGCACTGCTCCATGGCCAAAAGTCGGCTTGGTGTGCTCCAGCATTAACCCTAGAAATCTGCCCTGTCTCTCCCAGGCCGGCTCACACCACCCCCTACACCCCTAACAATCTGCGCTCAATCATCCACTCCTTTAACTCTGACCCAAAAAATCTGCCCTACTTTGTGCAGGCTAGCTTATGACACCTATTCCCCCACTCAATTAACCCTAACCCAAACAATCTGCCCTACCTTGAGCAGGCTGGCTTATGACACCTATTCCCCCTGACTCCTTTAACCTTAACCCAAGCAATCTGCCTTATCTTGTCCAGGCTGGCTGGTTAAACCCATTCTTCCCCAACTTCTTTAACCTTATCCCAAACAATCCGCTCTATTTTGTCCAGGCTGGCTGGTTACACCCATTCCCCTGGCTCATTTAACCCTTTCCCAAACAATCTACCCTACCTTGAGCAGGCAACCTTATGACACCCGTTCCCCCTGACTCCTTTAACCCTATCCCAAACAATCCGCCCTATTTTGTCCAGGCTGGCTGTATACAACCATTCCCCCGACTGCTTTAACCTTAACTTAAACAATCTGCCTTATCTTGTCCAAGCTGGCTCATGACATCCATTCCCCCCAACTCCTTTATCCCTATCCCAAATAATCTGCCCTATCTTGTTCAGGCTGGCTGCTTACACCCATTCCCCTAACTCCTTTAACCTTAACCCAAGCAGTCTGCCTTATCTTGTCCAGGCTGGCTGGTTACACCCATTCCCCTTGACTACCTTAACCTTCACCCAAACAATCTGCCCTATCTTGTCCTTGCTGGCTGGTTATACCCCATCCTTACCCTGACTCCTTTAACCCAAACCAAACAATCTGCCCTGTCTTGTCCTTGCTGGCTGGTTACACCCCTCCTTACCCTGACTCCTTTAACCCAAACCAAACAATCTGCCCTATCTTGTCTAGGCTGGCTGGTTACACCCCTCCTTACCCTGACTCCTTTAACCCAAACCAAACAATCTGCCCTGTCTTGTCTAGGCTGGCTGGTTACACCCCTCCTTACCCTGACTCCTTTAACCCAAACCAAACAATCTGCCCTATCTTGTCCTTGTTGGCTGGTTACACCCCTCCTTACCCTGACTCCTTTAACCCTGACTCCTTTAACCCAAACCAAACAATCTGCCCTATCTTGTCCTTGCTGGCTGGTTACACCCCTCCTTACCCTGACTCCTTTAACCCAAACCAAACAATCTGCCCTATCTTGTCTAGGCTGGCTGGTTACACCCCTCCTTACCCTAACTCCTTTAACCCAAACCAAACAATCTGCCCTATCTTGTCTAGGCTGGCTGGTTACACCCCTCCTTACCCTGACTCCTTTAACCCAAACCAAACAATCTGCCCTATCTTGTCTAGGCTGGCTGGTTACACCCCTCCTTACCCTAACTCCTTTAACCCAAACCAAACAATCTGCCCTATCTTGTCTAGGCTGGCTGGTTACACCCCTCCTTACCCTGACTCCTTTAACCCAAACCAAACAATCTGCCCTATCTTGTCCTTGCTGGCTGGTTACACCCCTCCTTACCCCGACTCATTAACCCAAACCAAACAATCTGCCCTATCTTGTCCTTGCTGGCTGGTTACACCCAGACGTGTCTTATCTTGTGAATTGTAAACATTCATTTTCTATTTTGCACCCACATTCGGTGTCTCATCCTGACTTGCTAATAGCAACCAGTCCCTCCCCTGTCCCCCTGCTTGCTTAATTATAACCCTCTAATCCACGGGTTTCAAACTCAGTTTCTGGAGGGCTGCAGCTCTTCACAGTTTAGTTCCAACCCACCTACAGGCCATTCCAATTGCAAACTCTGCAAGTATGTGCATACATCCAAAGTGTACTGATTCATATTCAGTCTTGCATCTCTTTTATCAGGGACAATCAGTTTTTCCACTTGAAAAATGAATTGACGTTTGCCTCCAGAGAGCTCTGTAGAAGAAAGCAGTGTTGTTACATGCAAATTATGCTGCATATCTTATATTGTATAAGCTAATTTTGATTAACATGTAAACGGCTATAAGTTTCAAACACTTTTGTTTTAAGTTTTAGAAAGAAAATCATCAAGTTTTGCAATCAATTGTGGGTAAATTTTGTGTACCCTCTCTGATTAATCAATAGAACACTATGCTTTCTAGCACAATTCTTGAAATCTTACCTTTCAGCTTTATTCTGATGGATCTATCCAAAGCAGTGGGGTTTTGGCCATTCAAAACACAGATATTCATGTCTGCTAGCTCCAGGAGCACCTGTGAACACTTCTGTATAGGTCCAAACATTGGGTCTTCTGAAGGAAACAAACATTAAACAAACATCAACACGCAATGAAACAACCTCAATGCAAGTTCTTTCCATTCCCCAATGATATCAGGTGATATCTAGCAGCCAATTGAAAATGTTTTGAAGTGAAACAAATATTAATTTAATGAAATTGAGGCTGGAAGGGCATCCGCTGCGTAAAAACTTGCTGGATAAGTTGGCGGTTCATTCCGCTGTGGCGACCCCGGATTAATAAAGGGACTAAGCCGACAAGAAAATGAATGAATGAAACTGTAACAATCTGTTCAGTAACGCTTCAAAATATGGTGCACAATTAAACATCAAAGATACAACTGTCAAAAGAGTAAAGTGGAAACCTGAAGAAATGCTTTACCTCTCTCCATTTCCTCAATCATCACACGAAGTAAATGTCTAAAGAACTCTGTGGGGAAATTCAGATGAAATCAGTATCGACTTTATAACAATCATATTAAGTGAAAAGTCATTCTTGAAATGCACCTTTGATTTTTTCCCAGAGGAATTTAGCAATCTCTACTCCATCTGCTAAAGCGCTGCCACACAGAGCTGCAGGAAATGATTGACAGTAATCAAAAACATGTTCAGTCCATATTTAATGAATTCTTACTTTATTCAACAAAAATTATATGACCAGGCTGGTTTTAGAGGGGTTTTGGCCACTTCCAGGCTGGTTTCCAGCCATTTCCAGCCTGGTCTTAGCTGGTCAGGCTGGGAGATGACCAGCTAAAACCAGCTTGATCAGCCTAGCCAAGCTGGGAGTCCAGCCAAAACCAGCTATACCCAGCTTAAACCAGGCTGGTCAAGCTGGTTTTAGCTGGATTTGGCTGGTCATTTTCCAGCCTGACCAGCAATGACTAGGCTGGGAATGGCTGGAAACCAGCCTGGAAGTGGCCAAAACCCCTCTAAAACCAACCTGGTCGACCAGCTAAAACCAGCCAACCAGCCTAGGCTGGTTTAAGCTGGATTTTTTAGCAGGGAAGTTTAACTGTTTCTACATGCACTGTTGGCCATATTTCTGATTGTATATTTCATATTAGTATATGTGAGGGGGCAAACTTTTCAAGATGGGTGGTGACCATGGGGGCCATTTTGAAGTCGGCCATCTTGGATCCAACTTTAGTTTTTTCAATAGTAAGAGGGTCATGTGACACATCAAACTTATTGGGAATTTCACAAGAAAAACAACGGTGTGTTTGCTTTAACTTTATTCTTTCATGAGTTATTTACAAGTTTCTGACCACTTATAAAGTGTATTCAATGTGCTGCCCATTGTGTTGGATTGTCAATGCAAGCCTCTTCTCAGACTCTTCACACACTGATAGCAACACCACAGGAGAAATGCCAGCACAGGCTTCCAGTATGCGTCGTTTCAGGTGCTGCACATCTTGTATCTTCACAATTGCCTTAAGATGACCCTAAAGATAAAAGTCTAAGGAGGTCAGATCGGGAGACCTTGGGGGTCATTCAACTGGCCCATGACCACCAGTGAACTTTTCAGGAAACTAGGAATGCTTGGACCTGACACCCATAATGTGGTGGTGCACCATCTTGCTGGAGAAACTCAGGGAATGTGCCGGCTTCAGTGCATAAAGAGGGAAACCATCATCATGGAGCAATGTCAAATATCCAGTGGCCTTGAGGTTTCCATTGATGAAGAATGGACCCACTATCTGTGTTGTGAAGATACAAGATGTGCAGCACCTGAAACGACGCATACTGGAAGCCTGTGCTGGCATTTCTCCTGCGGTGTTGCTATCAGTGTGTGTAGAGTCGGAGAAGAGGCTTGCATTGACAATCCAACACAATGGGCAGCACATTAAACACATTTGTATCCATATAAATGGCCCTCCCTGTATATTAATATTAAAGGAATAGTTCACCCAAAATAGATTTATGCACTTTGAGAAACTTCCTATCCTTTATGCAGCCTGAAGAGCGAAAATAAAATGTAAAAGCTCTCCGACTGTGTGTGCATGGCAGAAAACGTCATATAGTTAAATAAGTTAAATGATGTCGTAATGTAGAGAAAACTTTTACTCTCTTTAGAAATGAAGAGTGATGAAGAGATCATTTTTAGTTTTAGGTGACTACTATTCCTCTTAACACAGGCTCGTTGTGGATATATACCCCCATCTAAAATTCTGGAGATTGTGAAATAGGGTATGTCTGACTGCATTTTGTCTGTAAAAGGAACGCTATGAGGCGGTTGCCGCTGACAGCTTCTGCCAGGCCCGTGCAGAGACCGTCCAAAGGGCATGTGCAGGATAAATGTTTTGAAGACCGGGGGGTGGGGGGGGGTTGTACTGAAGTGTTTTTGCGCGTGTACTGAAGAGTCGTGTTGTCGCGTGCGTACTGTAAAGCGGGGGAGGGGGGGTTGAGCGCGCGTACTCAAGATCAGTGTTGTCGTGCGCCTACTGAAGGGCGGGAGGGTGTGTCGCATCGCGGGGGCACTTTTGATCATTTTGGAAGGGCACTTTCTGTCCAAGACTAAAAAGGGCATGTGCACTGCACAGGTTGAGCCCTATGTGTGCACGTGCCTGGCTTCTGCTCTTTTTTGCGCTTACCGCTTAGCTCCATATGGACGACTTTTCTGGTATTAAGAGTTTGAACAGTAGCTCATGGCATATGCTGATGGACCTGGGGACGTGTTGTGTGTTCAGAGATGCTCTTCTGCAGACCTCGGTTGTAGCGAGTGCTTATTTGAGTTACTGTTGCCTTTCTATCAGCTGGAACCAGTCTGGCCATTCTCCTCTGACCTCTGGCATCAACGAGGCATTTACGCCCACAGAACTGCCGCTCACTGGATATTTCCTCTTTGTCGGAGCATTCTCTGTAAACCCTAGAGATGATTATGCGTGAAAATCCCAGTAGATCAGCAGTTTCTGAAATACTCCGTCCAGCCCTTCTGGCAGCAACAACCATGCCACGTTCAAAGTCTCTTAAATCCCCTTTCTTCCCCATTCTGATGCTCGCTTTGACCTGCAGCAGATCCTCTTGACCATGTCTACATGCCTAAATGCACTGAGCTGCTGCCATCTGATTGGCTGATTAGAAATTCGCATTACCAAGCAGTCGGACAGGTGTACCTAATAAAGTGGCCGGTGGGTGTATATACTAATGACACTCTTGAGAATGTGGTAAAATCTGTAAACGTGTGCCTCCAACTCCTTTTCTTTTTCTAGATTAGCTTTTGAAAACACTATCGGTTGGGTTTAGGAAAGGGGGTGGGTGGGTCAGTTGGCTGAAGTGTGTGTTGTTGCGCCCTCTGGTGGAATTATGTGAAAAGCGGACACCCGCATGCCACACCCAAGAGAAGGTTGAGATCATTAAAAGCCATGCACAGCGGCAGCCAATGGTGGATTTGCGAAAATAAAGAATGCAAGCAGACGTAGCGGTCTCCAGAAATGTAGACAGGGGTACGTATCCACAATGAGCCTGGGTTGATTACATTAATTAACTCTCTTGTGTTTGTTACCTTGCAGGTACAGCATGTCCACTTCAGGCTGACGCTTGACCTTACTGCCGTTCTCAAACTGGCTGCAGAAGCTGGGAGAGCTCACAAATGCTCCAGTGAGGGAATAACCTGTTTCACGAGGAGTGATCTCGAACCAGGGGTCTGTAGATGCACATTATGCCATTAAAACAGCTGATATGAGCACTTTAACACTTTTATTCTGGTATACACACCTCCATCTCCAGACTGTTTGCACTGCTTGTCGATCACGGTGAAGATGGGAAACGGGTCTTTCTTGTGCTGCTCCCGCTGGTCACTGAGTGTGCTCTCGTCAATCTGTAGAGAATACAGTGCTTAGCATAAATGAGTACACCCGTCTCTTGCAAATAAACACTTCTATCCATCTCTTTGTGAATATAGTTAATTTATTTTAATGCATTTGAACAAAACAGTCTGATTATGTCCATTAAAATAAGAGTTTGGTACCTGAACATGTTTAGTAACAGTATGATAATACATTTAATTTCAAACCAGTCATTCAGTCATTTTCTTTTCGGCTTAGTCCCTGTATTAATCTGCGGTTGCCACAGCGGAATGAACTGCCAACTTATCCAGCACATATTTCACACTGCGGATGCCCTTCCAGCTGCAACCCATCACTGGGAAACATCCATACACATTTATTCCCACTGCTGCCAATTAAGCTAACCCAATTCCCCTATAGCGCATGTGTTTGGACTATGGGGGAAACCGGAGTGCCCGGAGGAAACCCACGCTAACAAGGGGAGAACATGCAAACTCCACACAGAAACACCAACTGACCCAGCTTGAACCAGCGACCTTCCAGCTGTGAAGCAATCGTGCTACCCACTGCACCACCGTGACACCCAAACGAGTTATTGCAAACAAATTACAAACTACAAAACTTCATCAGAATTTAATATTGTGTGTTTCTCTTGATTTGTCCGGCGTATTAAATGTGTGTGTCATATTTCCCCCCAGTTGTATTTAAACTGCTTTGTCTGAAAAGTAATTGAATGGGCTGCATGCACAGCAAGTGCCACTGATAAACTTCTAGTGAATGTTTAATGTGACTAAATCAACCCAAGCTCCTTCTGAAAACGTACCCCTATATACATTTCTGGAGAGCACCAAATACTTTGGCTCTCGGCGAAGGCGGTCACACTTTTTTTCCTCTCATTCCCATATCTGTCCTTGCTGGCTCCTCTTGTCTTCATCTTATTCTATGTGTGAGGCTCTTCCTGCTCTGCTATCAAAGGCATTTCCACACTCATTTCAGTTTTGTCCCCAACCCCCCCCCCCCCCCCCCCCCCCCCTGCTCGTGAACGGGCATGGGGGGTAGAGAACAGGGCATGCAGCGAGACAACAAATGCTGAATATAAGTGGGAGCGGTCGGGGTTCGGGCTATGGCGGGAGCGGGGTTCAAAATGTAGTCCCGCGCAGATCTCTAATGCACACTCGCTCTCGTTTCACTCAAATGTGCCTCAGTTCATGCATTTCTAATGAAACTGGATGACTTCAGCATTGGAAATGTTTTGCTCTGATAACATGCCACGTTCAAAGTCACTTAAATCCCCTTTCTTCCCCATTCTGATGCTCACTTTGACCTGCAGCAGATCCTCTTGACCATGTCTACATGCCTAAATGCATTGAGCTGCTGCCATCTGATTGGCTGATTAGAAATTCGCATTACCAAGCAGTTGGACAGGTGTACCTAATAAAGTGGCCGGTGGGTGTATATACTAATGACACTCTTGAGAATGTGGTAAAATCTGTAAACGTGTGCCTCCAACTCCTTTTCTTTTTCTAGATTAGCTTTTGAAAACACTATCGGTTGGGTTTAGGAAAGGGGGTGGGTGGGTCAGTTGGCTGAAGTGTGTGTTGTTGCGCCCTCTGGTGGAATTATGTGAAAAGCGGACACAGGGCATGCAGCGAGACAACAAATGCTGAATATAAGTGGGAGCGGTCGGGGTTCGGGCTATGGCGGGAGCGGGGTTCAAAATGTTGTCCCGCGCAGATCTCTAATGCACACTCGCTCTCGTTTCACTCAAATGTGCCTCAGTTCATGCATTTCTAATGAAACTGCATGACTTCAGCATTGGGAATGTTTTGCTCTGATAACATGATTATCCTGCAGGGCTGTGTGATTCTGATTGGCTGATCAATGTCCTCAGGGTGTGTTTCCACCAAGTGTACATTTTATTACTATCAATGAAAAACACATGCATGCTTTCACTTTCTATCCAGTACACACACACACACACACACACACACACACACGTGCTTTCAGTGTGCTTCATACTGAGGCAGGACATGACCTTGTACCTCCAGTAGTGAGGTAAAACTGCAGCTGTCCTCTAATAAAATTAGTTTCGCTAATAGTAGACACACTCTGGCCAAACACAGACACTGCTACTCTCCTCATTTCTCTTTCTTTCTTTCAGATCTGGAATAAATAACAGTTTTTCTTGATTGCTTTGACTTATTACAGTTTTTCTTAGTTGTTTACACACAATTAGTTGTACTATAGACACAATTTCTACAACATGTAACTGATGCACCCACCCCCTGAACCAATTCTGCTAAACTACAAGCACAATTGCTGCTTTACACTCAAATTACAGGTTTAAAACACACTTTTTTCAAAACACTACTCACAATTCTCTGCATTTTACACAATTTTCATGCAGAAAATCTTGTGTTTTCACAAGGAACACACTGTCATTCACAATTGTAAAGTCAGACTCAGTTGCCTTACTTTGCATACTAACTCATCACATAAACACTTGTCCCACAGAGTTTCAATTTAGAAATCAGAGCTCATCTGGATCATCACTGGTTTACTGCCCACCCACAATTTTTAGTGGTTTATCTCCCTCCATATTCTCCATTCCTCAAACCTATTGTTACGTCCCAACCAGTCTAGGGTTGGTGGGAACAATAACAAGTGTAAAAAAAAAACAAAGAGATAAACTCAAATACTCAATTTAGGGTTTTCCCCTTCTCCTGTCCCAACAATAATCACAACGCTGATCAAGTAGTAACAATATTTATTATTTACTCAGACAACAAAGATAGAAGCATCTCTTCGGAAGGGAATCCAGGCCAAAATAATAAACAAAAAGACAGCTAACTTGCGGGGAAATAATTCTAACTTACCTGCTCAAATAAAAGTACCCCAAATAAAATTACAGCAAACTTCCCTTTCTCCCTTGCTGCCACAAACCAGGAGAAAACGTTTTAAAGTAAATGGCGATTCCCAACCTACCGCTTCTGTTTCTAACCAAAAATAATACATATAAATATTTAAATCAGAAAAGCCAATAGATTCAGATTTAACAGAGAGCCGTTTTAGAAAATAATTAAATTGTCAGTAACAGAAATCAATCAATTCACACCAAGTCAACCAACAGTTTGGGGCAGGAGATAGGAGACGCTCGGAACAACAGCGGCGACGACGGCGGCGACGACGACGACGACGACGACGGATATTTGCGACCTGCACCGAGCAGAAAGATCTCTCCATTGTTCCTCTCCTCCAGCTTATATACACTCCCACACGCAACACGGCTGGACCGCAATCAAGCGCAGCTCTAGAGGGAGGGGGAGAGAGAGAGAAAGCTGCGCATGCTCCACAGCGCACAACACAATATCAGCTCCAAATGCATAAACAAAACACAAATCTGTGTATATATATATATATATATATATATATATATATATATATATATATATATATATATATATATATATATATATATATATATATATATATAATATTTATATATATAAAATTAGCAAACAAATAATTAATACGTTCTATAACGTAACACTATTGAGGAATTGTTTTTCTGCCTGTAGATGGAAAGCGTATGACCGAAATCCACACACACGTATACCCCTTCTTCAAGCTATAGCAGTTGATGCTTTTCGTGGCTGGATTTGCCATGCAAGGTGACATTTCCCCCGCTGCTTGGCCAGACCAAAACAGAAAAGAGGATGCAGTATAGCTGTTTTTTTTTTTATAGCTGTTCTGTAAATACTTCTGTTGATGGTACATGTAGACCATGTTACAGTTTTTCTCGATTGCTTGGATGCAGTTGTCAACTGAAACTCCACATTTTCAAAACAGTTAACACACAGGCCTAAACAGCGGCACTCATGGTCAAAATGACACATTTTGCTTGCAAAAGGCACATATCGTGTCAAAACATTTAACATATGCAACAAAAGCTAGTTTTACCTTCAAACAACACAACTTGCAAACAAGCATATGAGCTCTTTCAATTACAGTTTTTCTAGTTTGCTTTGACCTGGTTAAAGAAACTAGGTTCCTCTTCATTTTCATTATCACTATCCCAGCAGAGCAGAGGACAGGTCTTGCAAATGTCTGAACGCTTTCTCATTGGGTTGACACATTTT